ATACAATCTGCAGATTAGAGTATTTATAATGCTTAAAACTGTTTGACGTTTTTTGGTGCCTCCCTGATTCTGGTAGTTTTGTGATAAGAACTACAAAAACGATCTACTGGTAAACGGAAGGAATAGTCTTTCCGGTTTAGAACTGAGTCGACTGTCAAGTGATGCATAGGCTCCAGGCCTCTGGTTATTGTCACAAAGCATTGGAATGAAGATTGCGCCCAGGAGCCACCTAGGTTAGGAGACAAATGCTGTAATATCATTGTAAGAGGCCGTACTGAGAAGGCTGAAACGGAACTAAAAGTGAATCTTGTACTAAAACATCGAGAAAGAATTTGAATCTTCTAATGGCAATGACGGGAATGATATGCATCTGTACGTCCGTGATAGTATGTGTGCCTTTTAAAAGGGATGTTTGGCGAGTGGGATAGCTGAGAAGATTTTCCGGGATGCCAAACAATTATCTCTATCGATGTCAGGGATGATGCTATTCCACGACATTTCCTGTAAAATACCTATTTTCCAGACCCTTGGGGGTGGGGGGGGTACCCAGGTCTGTAAATGGCCTAAATATATATACTTTTGATTTGGACTGCATGTTCGCCACTGTTCTATATTTCCCGTGGGTTTTGCATTGTTTTCCTCGATTTTCATTCGTTCTTATTCCCTTTCTTACGTATGTTATAATATTGTCTTGGGTTTGCACTGCCCATTTTGCGAGTAGAGCTATGTTTTGATTTCTCACCGTACGGCCAAAATGTTGCAGAACTTCGCGGAGAAGCATGGACCACGCTGGGGAGAAAACAATTTAGACTTTGAGAGGTCACATGACCACTGTTCACACAAAAAAGCGGGTATTATTTATCTACAATAGGTGGATTTACGGAACTTGAGATAGAACTTTTCACAATGCCGCAGTACATTGTAGGAAACATATTTGGATATAGAAGTTACAAAATCGTGGAGTTTACCCTAAAAAGGTCCATTTAATGATTGGAAAATTATGACCCGTTAGCAATTGTTGATGTTGGGGCGCTTCATGTTTGAGCCATGCCATATGGATGAGGTGGAGTTTCACGCGCCCCCGCGCGAGTCAAAAAGCAAGCGCTGGCTTTCGTTCCACCCCTTCTCAGGTCTTCTGTGGTTATACGGTTATATATATATACTGGTTCATCTCATCGTGTCAATTTGTTTTGTTGGTGTTTTTGCAGGACTGTTTCATTCCACATCACAAGTCGATAAGACGTCCGAGCAAGTCTGTGTAGTGTATGTAATGTATGTACTGTATGTAATGTATGTAATGTAATCTAATGTAATGTAAGGTAATGTAAGGTTATGTTATGTTATGTATGTATGTATTTAAAAAAACATACATGTAGATGTACATATGTGCATATACATATATGCGTACAAATTTACAATATATATATATATATCGTGGTGTGACCTCTTGGAACTATCAATACTTCCACCGGGTTCTGTTTTCATAGTTTGCATGTGTTTAAAATGTGGGCGTCATCAGCCGCTCGTCATGTCATCCGCTGTTGTCATTATCCCTTCTCATATCAATTGCAAGTCTCGTACTGTTTTGCTATTGATCAACGTTATCCCCCGCTCCACACCCCGGGACATGACAGGAATGTGAACATGAGTTTGCTCTCTGTACCATAGGAGTGCTATCCATAGTTCCAAAGGCTTAGTTTTTTTTTTTAAATACGCATTTATTTATACATACATGTACAGGTATGTATGCACGTATGTTTTCCATCCCTGGAAATGAGATGATGATTCCAACTTACATATTTCTCTATGGTTCGACCGAGGATGGGAACGCCAATGTCGCGCTGCCACACTGTTTGAAAACGGCTGTTCATAGCCATGCCAGGTGCCCAGTGGGACATCTATTTTCACCAACGTTTTTAACATCAATGCGGAATGGTCATACAACTGACAATCACTGGACCCACGGGTGAATCTTTCCATTATCATGTCAACAGACGCGTACAGCAGCAAATTCCCAGATATCAGCTGGTTTCCCTCATGAATTGTCATCACACAAGTGTTGGAAGTCGCGAGCGCGGCACAGAGCGCAGACTTGCCACCGCAGGCATCCACATCTGGTGCGCTGAGTGATAGCAAAAATGGGGTCCTGTTGTCCTGTTCCAGGACGGGAGGATCTGCTATTGAAAGCAATGATTTAACAACACTTGGGAGGATGGGTTTGTAATGGTTTATGTATAACCAGTATACTGAAACCATTTACTGGTTGGTGCTTCATTCATAATATTCATATTTTGCACCTTTCCATCCCGGAAATTGGTATGATGATCCCAAATCATTAGTATTCTTAGGCTGGGTTGAAACAAATAACTAGTTCAAAGTCTGGGGGTCCCCAACGCCCCCAACTCTTAAAACTTGACGAATACCCTACCGGGCCTACCGGATCCTGCCAATCAATTGAGGGGAAAGACTATCCATTCACCCTCTGGTAATTTCAAATAGCGATGGAATATGACCCATTTGTGGATGATTTGCTGTACCTATAAAACATGGCCATTTTCTATTGCGAACCTTGTGATTCCTGGATCCTCCCGAGCGGCCCCAGCCGCGGCCGTTCCGCGATGAAAAATCTATGCCCTTGGCCGTTCCGCAAGGCAAACAAAAATCTATGGTACAGTAAATGGTTAGTAGCTAGCTTGTGACTCCTGCTATGGTGTGTGTGCATATATATATATATTATATAATTATGTATATATATATATATGTATATATATATGTACATATACACATACATGCCCATCATATTCGTAATCTAATGCAATATACACATGTCATTTGTAATTTGTAACATACGCATTTCATTTGTAATACACGTGCATGCATACATCTCAAGCGCATGTGCAAGGAACCTGTGCAAAGCTGTGTTTTGAAGGGACCATTGGACACATTTCCAGAAACCCCTGCCCCAAGGGCTGCCCGGTTGGTGGATACCAACTACCAGCCCAATTGGACGTGCGCATCCCCGAAATCCTTATCCATTTATACATGTTGTGTATATATACATACAAGGACATGCATACGAAGACATCCTGCCAGACGGTTTGAATCGGTTGCAATCATGCCTAAACTGATATATATATATATACACATGTATCATGTATCTATCTATCTATCTATGTATCTATGTACCTATGTACATAATATGTATAATTATGTATATACGTATAATTGTATATATGTCTATATGTAAAGATGTATACATGTATATATATATATACACATCAATGTATAAATGTCTGCAGGCATAAATGTACATATGTAGAAATGTATAAATGTATAGTTGTGTATATGTATATACGTATATATTTATATATGTATACAGGTATATATGTCTATATGTCTATATGTATACATGTATATATATATATACATGTATATAATATATGTATAAATGCATAAATGTATATAGGTGTAAATGTATCTATATGTGTATATATGTATATCTGTATATATGTATATATGTATATCAGTATATATGTATAGATGTATAGATGTAATATATACATATATACTTTTGTGGCTTCGAATGTTTCGCACCGCGCTACAACTTGCAGCCTGCAGCCAGCGCTTTTTTTCACGGGCTTCTAATGACCACTGTTCTTGAGCCTCCACTGCCGTCTGGCAACTTGTTCAAGCAATGGATGAGTTTTGCCATCCTTGCGAGTGCAAATGCTTCGTGGTGTCTGACTCGCTAGCTTTAATGCGGCGTCGAAGGCTACAGGAAAGGCGCTTCTCAATTACTTGACCTGCCCAAACCCCATTTGCAATGAAGCATAAAAGTACGTGTGCAAGTGTAAGTGAACATTCCCTCGCGTAGCATCAAGTACGTGGGCAGTACAAGTAAAATTTCCCAGCCCCCAGTCCAGCCCACCCCACCCCACCCCATTTGTAACGTAGCATCAGGTATGTGCACAAGTGCATGTCAAAATTCCTTGTTGTGTAGCATCAAGTATGGGTGCAAGTGCAAGTGAACGTTACCACCGCACCCAACTCCATCCCACCCCATCATTTGCGACGTATCATGATATGCGTATGCCAATCAAATACACCTACAATTTCCCAGCCGCTAGTAAACAACAAAATACAAACATACAAATACATATCAATACACACACACACAAACCCGTACAAATACATACAAATACATACAAATCATACAAATACATACAAAACCGTACGAAAAACATACGAAACATACAAATACATACAAATACATACAAACATATACATGCATACACAAACATACAGACCTACATGCCTACATACCTGCGTACCTACATATACACACATGTTATAGTTATTTTACATGTAAATGTAATATATATATTTATACAATACAGAATCGAATATGCTATAACTAAGCTTTGTCCAGTTGGTGTAAGCTACTACACACGTAGAACCACCCGAGGGTCGCGCCGTGGCGCCAGCATGCGCCAGCTGGCCTCGTTTCAGTGGAACCATCCTGCTGGGATGTCCCAAATTCACTTGGGGGTTTCCATAAATGGCGGTGTTTCGGGCGACAGTGCACAAAGATGCGCGCGGGACCAAAAGGATGCCATGAGGTGCGACTTGGTATGCCATGACCAGCAGCCTCTGCCAGAGATGGCCATACCATCCCAAGGGTCCCCACCTAACGATTGAGTTCCAAGCTTCTTCCATTTTGAATTTGACAAATGTGGTAACCCAGGAAACCCAATGCCACAACTACCATTTGGGAATGATTTATGCCACCCCCCCAAAAATTGGGCGTCCTTTATGAGATTGGCTATCCCACATTATAATATCTCAGACAACTATTGAAACATATGTAAAAAATCATTATATAATTTCCAAAAAACAGATCAACATCAGATCAACCATACTGTAGTGATATCTAAGAAAACCATTAAAACACATAAGAAACACCGACTCCACGGTGCCACAGGTGGCTCAAAACGCTGGCCATGTGGTCCTGGTTCAGTGGCACGGTGCCCAAGGTGCCACAGGCACCGCAGGCGCCCAAACCAGAGCGCTGCAGTGGCGCCTCGGCGAATGGCATAGTTTTGGGGCGTCCCAGGTATTGGAAACCAATGGAAACCATCAGAGTCCCAAGGAGTCCCTAGCTTTACGAGTTTCAATCCGATTCGGGGTAAGAAGCTCGGGGAGTCAGATTTGCGTGTGGTTCGAGGGTTGATCCGTGCCCGGATTCTGCACGACCGTGAGCCGATCGATCCCCGTGATTCTCATTTTCAGATAGGGTTTCCATGTTGGCTCCCCCCAAAAAAACATTGTCTGATCCTTCGCACCGTTGGCATACGTGAAGGGTTGGCCGATATATGTCGTGGTAAAAATCTTGGAGACTCATTGGAGACCAGAAAAGACCCAAACATGAGTTATCGCAGATATCCTATTCTACCGCATTTACGTCCATTTCTATCCTTCACTTCTCCAAATCTGACGGATGAGGTGATTGGCGCCGGCGGCAGTACCAGTTGCCTCCAAAGATGCTTTGCGCTCGCGCGCCAAGGTGGGGATGATGTCAGGTGAGGACTGACCTGTTGACCCTTGTTGATTGATTGTAGTAGGGGGTTATTAACCGGAACTAACCTACCCGATTTTCTTTAGAGATCCTGAACTAAGCGATAATGGGAATCCAATGTATGTATGTATAGGGGGATGACAAAGGGTTTTGGACACTGCTCAGATGGCATGGAATTGGCGAAGGTAAGTTGACGCAATGGACGTACAGCCACAACAGTATCATCTTTGGGAGGTAGATCTTCCAATCTCTGACGAATCCTATCAGAGAATTGAGATTCAAATAGCTATGGATTCTTTGGATCAAGACCTTCCACCCTGGTGGTTCCAGGTGGCCTTGCCCTGAAGTGCCTTCCTCATATTTTCGCGAGGCCAGAGAAGTTATCCTCTACATAGCCGTGGTATAACAGGCACTGGGGTGTATCCCAAGTGTAGATGGGGTAGAACTGGTATAAGTGGGGGATAACTGGGGTATACATTATCATTGTATCTCCCACGTATGACTGGGTTCGAACCATGGCTATGAGCCATTTACTAAGTGGGATGCACATCGTAGTATACCTCTAAATGTGACTCTACAAGGTTATGGGAAGTAAACTTGTTCACGGGAACGTTCCAGGGAATTGAATGCAGTTGACCAACAAAAAAACATTTTGTAGGATCCGAATCTCAAGGCACTTCACGGCTCATAGCTGCCCTATGCTCCACGATTGATCGGCCAAGAATCGAGTTCTGGCGCCTCATGAAAAGACATGCTTGTTTGTGACATGTTGTGACTCCCCAGGCGTGCTACAAGCAGTTGCCCTCTCCGGGCCAATGGATCTGCAGCTGTTCACTTGCAAACATGTTTGGAGGAAGACTTCTGTCGTGGGTGTGGGGGTCGCTTGTCTAACGGTGTCAATGGTCTAAATCCCAGGCCTCCCCTACACTGGTCCAGCGGAGTCCCGTTGAACAGCTTTCTTTCACAAAGGCCAGCTGTTTCTGAGACAGATTCTTCAGGTTCCTCCACAACTTAATCATAAATTTCTCGTATTTTCCTAATCAAATAGACATGTTGAGGGTATCCCCCATTTTTTCGGCACGTCTTCGCCCTAAGGCAAGTCCCCTGCACGTTGCGAGAAGGACCTGGCAGCTCGGGCGCGCGAAGAAGAGCGCTTGAGGCTGGAAGAAGTGGCACGACAGGTGCCGCGGCGCTGCGGGGTGTGGATACCCCGTATCCATTGCTGGCCATTTTCATGGGAAAAAGATGGAAAAATGATGAGCACGTGGATTTATAGGCACCATAATTTGACGATTCATGCGGGTAGAATTGGAATGGAATCAACAAAATTGGGAAAGTCAGGCTGACGATCGTGAGCCTTCTGGACACGGGGACCCACGTGGATTGGAAAATTTGAGTTGATGGGCCATTTTTGATCTGAGCCATTTTTGATCGAGCTTAGACACTGACAGGAACAGCGGCTACTTGCTTGTTTCGGTCTCACAAACTTGGAACGCGGATGTCAGCTGTTGGGGACATAGCCATTTTTCGAATATTTCCACTCCGCTCAGGAGCGCGCCCAGTGTGGGCAACTGACGGCGGCTGACTTGAAATTCGCTCACCTTGAAGGTCGAAAGATGATGCCTGAACTCAGGGGCTACGAGGCCCGGGTCGGGATCAACTGGATCATCTTTTTTTTTTGGGAGAATTATGTATGGCTCTTTTTGGGTATATACTGTATATACAGTATACATGTATTACGCATATAGATTTATCAACCGAATGGGATTCGACCAACGGAAATTTCAGGCTCAAAAAGCAACAGATTCCCTGATTGTTTTTGGTATCAACCATCAAATTTTCTTGGCGCCCATTTTGACGTAAAGCCAAGTAGTCAAAGGCTAGGAACGGGGATCATGATCCACTTGAATCCACTTACTGAGACGTAAGGGTGATGATCATCTACTTAGTAAGTGGGATTACCTTCCAAGTGAGTTTGGCTGCGCGCAATGGATCTACCAGAAGGAGTCATGTGCAGAGATCGATTCCATCATTGATGATGAAGAAGATGATGATGGGACTCTCTGTTGTCATGGATGGCATCTTGATATAGATTTATTCATTTGTGTACGTATGTATATGTATGTATGTATATATATATATGTATATATATATATATGTATTTGCGTATGCATTATATATATATATCTATACATAGTAAGAATGAAGTATGAAAAACATGCAGCCGCAAAGTGATTTTTCGCCCTTCCGGTGTAGCTGGCGACCTTGATACGATGGATGCGGCACAGGAGATGCCAAAGATGCACCGTGATGGCAATGATGAGGCCGGGGAAAGATGCAGTGGGAGGCAGTTGATGGAGGCAGAAACCAGGGATTTTTGAAAAAAAAACGAGGGAGTTTATAGCAAGTTTGTAGTCGACATGGAGATTCCAGGAGACAGCTTGGACATGTCATGTAGCTTCCACCAAGCTTGGGATGATTTCCACCTGCAAGGTGAGACCCTCCATTCATAAGTTATAAGGTAGTTTTTTTAATAAAGCCCATTAAATATATCTGTACCCGTAAACCCTAGGTAACCAGGCGATGATTCAACTTAGCTATCCAGCTCAACTTGATCAACCGCGTGATGGTCATTGTTTATGGCCAGTTTCAGTTACTTGGGGGTGCAGCTGGGGTAAAACAAATGGCTGTGAGCATGGTAATTATAGCTATTATGTATCCAATCATAATTGGAACTGAACCCGCAAGTAGCGGCTCAGAATGCTTGGGAAACCAGAGGCACGTGGCAATTGTTGGGTGTCAATGTCCCGTGTCCCGTAGATGGGATGTACCCCCAGAAACTATATCGCATGAAATGATGCAAAAAATGGGTGGGGTATGGTTTGGTCATGTTTGGAAGATGGTTTCCTGGTGTCCCATGCGATATGGCAATTTATGAAATTCATGGGAGGTAGATCTGGGTTGCGTAGAATCCTCCCTTCATGTACATCAATCATTGAGTGGTGTGCGGAGGCAGGTTTTCCAAATTGCACCGATGAAATGAGTCACAGATGCTGCAAGGGTCAACGGATAGATTCCTCTTCTGGATGGAAATTCCAGATGGCCCCAATGGCTCAACCATCTCAACCCTGGCTGCTCTTTGGCAGGCATACATCAATCTGCTGCGCTTCGCAGCATGGAAAGCAGGACATCAGCCGCAGTTCTGAAGAGGTCACCAGAGCCCCGATCCGTTCCACGAGCCATGAGTTCACCAAGTGGGCTGCCATAGTGCCATAGTATTGGTTTATATTGTGTCCTTGTTTAGAAGAGAAGCTGTTGAGCCTCGCGAAGGCCCCCCATCCGTCTTTGAAATCAGCTGATGTAGACTTGTCGACTCCACACGACTAACACTTCTGGTTTTCTAGCAGAGGGGGCTCCATTAGGGAGTCTGGCCCGACCCTCAAATGATATAGCCTCCCCACTGTGCAACCCCACTGTGCAAACCGCATCAAGTAGCTATGCTCAAACTTTCAATGGTCATACAACTGACAATCACTGCAGCCACGGGTGAATCTTTCCATTATCATGTCATATCATGTCAACAGACGCGTACAGCAGCAAATTCCCCACATATCAGCTGGTTTCCCTCATGAATTGTCATCACACAAGTGTTTTTGTTGTCGCGAGCGCGGCACCTGGTGCGCAGACTTGCCGCAGGCATCCACATTTGGTGCACCGCTGAGTGATAGCAAAAATGGGGTCCTGTTCCAGGACGTCCTGGAACAGGACCCCATTTTTGCTATCACTCAGCGGTGCACCAGATGTGTCAGGACGGGAGGATCTGCTATTGAAAGCAATGATTTAACTTCACACTTGGGAGGATGGGTTTGTAATGGTTTATGTATAACCATGTATAACCAGTGCTATTGAAAGCAATTTAACTTCAAAAACACTTGGGAGGATGGGTTTGTAATGGTTTATGAAAGTTTATGTATAACCAGTATACTGAAACCATTTACTGGTTGGTGCTTCATTCATATTTTGCACCTTCCATCCCGGAAATTGGTATGATGATCCCAAATCATTAGTATTCTTAGGCTGGGTTGAAACAAATAACTAGTTCAAAGTCTGGGGGTCCCCAACGCCCCCAACTCTTAAAACTTGACGAATACCCTACCGGGCCTACCGGATCCTGCCAATCAATTGAGGGGAAAGACTATCCATTCACCCTCTGGTAATTTCAAATAGCGATGGAATATGACCCATTTGTGGATGATTTGCTGTACCTATAAAACATGGCCATTTTCTATTGCGAACCTTGTGATTCCTGGATCCTCCCGAGCGGCCCCAGCCGCGGCCGTTCCGCGATGAAAAATCTATGCCTTTGGCCGTTCCGCAAGGTAAACAAAAATCTATGGTACAGTAAATGGTTAGTAGCTAGCTTGTAACTCCTGCTATGGTGAGTGTGCATATATATATACATATATATTATATAATTATGTATATATATATATATGTATATATATATATGTACATATACACATACATGCCCATCATATTCGTAATCTAATGCCATATACACATGTCATTTGTAATTTGTAACATATGCATTTCATTTGTAATACACGTGCATGCATACATCTGAAGCGCATGTGCAAGGAACCTGTGCAAAGCTGTGTTTTGAAGGGACCATTGGACACATTTCCAGAAACCCCTGCCCCAAGGGCTGCCCGGTTGGTGGATACCAACTACCAGCCCAATCGGACGTGCGCATCCCCGAAATCCTTATCCATTTATACATGTTGTGTATATATACATACAAGGACATACATACGAAGACATCCTGCCAGACGGTTTGAATCGGTTGCAATCATGCCTAAACTGATATATACACATGTATCATGTATCTATCTATCTATGTATCTATGATCCTATGTACATAATATGTATAATTATGTATATACGTATAATTGTGTATATGTCTATATGTAAAGATGTATACATGTATATATATATATATACATCAATGTATAAATGTCTGCAGGCATAAATGTACATATGTAGAAATGTATAAATGTATAGTTGTGTATATGTATATACATATATATTTATATATGTATACACATATATGTATACACGTATATATGTCTATATGTCTATATGTATACATGTATATATATATATACATGTATATAATATATGTATAAATGCATAAATGTATATCGGTGTAAATGTATCTATATGTGTATATATGTATATATATGTATATCTGTATATCTGTATATCTGTATATATGTATATATGTATAGATGTAATATATATATATATAGACATACTTTTGTGGCTTCGAATGTTTCGCACCGCGCTACAACTTGCAGCCTGCAGCCAGCGCTTTTTTTCACGGGCTTCTAATGACCACTGTTCTTGAGCCTCCACTGCCGTCTGGCAACTTGTTCAAGCAATGGATGAGTTTTGCCATCCTTGCGAGTGCAAATGCTTCGTGGTGTCTGACTCGCTAGCTTTAATGCGGCGTCGAAGGCTACAGGAAAGGCGCTTCTCAATTACTTGACCTGCCCAAACCCCATTTGCAATGAAGCATAAAGTACGTGTGCAAGTGTAAGTGAACATTCCCTCGCGTAGCATCAAGTACGCGGGCAGTACAAGTAAAATTTCCCAGCCCCCAGTCCAGCTCACCCCACCCCACCCCATTTGTAACGTAGCATCAGGTATGTGCACAAGTGCATGTCAAAATTCCTTGTTGTGTAGCATCAAGTATGGGTGCAAGTGCAAGTGAACGTTACCACCGCACCCAACTCCATCCCACCCCATCATTTGCGACGTATCATGATATGCGTATGCCAATCAAATACACCTACAATTTCCCAGCCGCTAGTAAACAACAAAATACAAACATACAAATACATATCAATACACACACACACAAACCCGTACAAATACATACAAATACATACAAATCATACAAATACATACAAAACCGTACGAAAAACATACGAAACATACAAATACATACAAATACATACAAACATATACATGCATACACAAACATACAGACCTACATGCCTACATACCTGCGTACCTACATATACACACATGTTATAGTTATTTTACATGTAAATGTAATATATATATATTTATACAATACAGAATCGAATATGCTATAACTAAGCTTTGTCCAGTTGGTGTAAGCTACTACACACGTAGAACCACCCGAGGGTCGCGCCGTGGCGCCAGCATGCGCCAGCTGGCCTCGTTTCAGTGGAACCATCCTGCTGGGATGTCCCAAATTCACTTGGGGGTTTCCATAAATGGCGGTACCCATAAATAGATGGTTTATTTCATGGAAAATCGATCAAATGGATGATAAAATAGGGGCACCCCTATTTTAGGAAACCCCCATTTCGTAGTCCAAGAAGTATTTTCGTTTGTTGAGAATTCAGATGGACGCTGTTGAAGAATCCGTTCAGATGATCTGACTGATTCTTCAACAGCGTCCATCTGAATTCTCAACAAGATTCAGATGCCTCATTGCGCCTCTGTTTCGGGCGACAGTGCACAAAGATGCGCGCGGGACCAAAAGGATGCCATGAGGTGCGACTTGGTATGCCATGACCAGCAGCCTCTGCCAGAGATGGCCATACCATCCCAAGGGTCCCCACCTAACGATTGAGTTCCAAGCTTCTTCCATTTTGAATTTGACAAATGTGGTAAACCCAGTAAACCCAATGCCACAACTACCATTTGGGAATGATTTATGCCACCCCCCAAAAATTGGGCGTCCTTTATGAGATTGGCTATCCCACATTATAATATCTCAGGAAACTATTGAAACAGATGTAAAAAATCATTATATAATTTCCAAAAAACAGATCAACATCAGATCAACCATACTGTAGTGATATCTAAGAAAACCATTAAAACACATAAGAACCACCGACTCCAAGGTGCCACAGGTGGCTCAAAACGCTGGCCATGTGGTCCTGGTTCAGTGGCACGGTGCCCAAGGTGCCACAGGCACCGCAGGCGCCAAAACCAGAGCGCTGCAGTGGCGCCTCGGCGAATGGCATAGTTTTGGGGCGTCCCAGGTATTGGAAACCAATGGAAACCATCAGAGTCCCAAGGAGTCCCTAGCTTTATGAGTTTCAATCCGATTCGGGATAAGAAGCTCGGGGATTCAGATTTGCGTGTGGTTCGAGGGTTGATCCGTGCCCGGATTCTGCACGACCGTGATCCGATCGATCCCCGTGATTCTCATTTTCAGATAGGGTTTCCATGTTGGCTCCCCCCGTGAAGGGTTGGCCAAAATATGTCGTGGTAAAAATCTTGGAGACTCATTGGAGACCAGAAAAGACCCAAACATGAGTTATCGCAGATATCCTATTCTACCGCATTTACGTCCATTTCTATCCTTCACTTCTCCAAATCTGACGGATGAGGTGATTGGCGGAGGCAACAGTACCAGTTGCCTCCAAAGATGCTTTGCGCTCGCGCACCAAGGTGGGGATGATGTCAGGTGAGGACTGACCTGTTGACCCTTGTTGATTGATTGTAGTAGGGGGTTATTAACCGGAACTAACCTACCCGATTTTCTTTAGAGATCGTGAACTAGCGATAATGGGAATCCAATGTATGTATGTATAGGGGGATGACAAAGGGTTTTGGACACTGCTCAGATGGCATGGAATTGGCAAAGGTAAGTTGACGCAATGGACGTACAGCCACAACAGTATCATCTTTGGGAGGTGGATCTTCCAATCTCTGACGAATCCTATCAGAGAATTGAGATTCAAATAGCTATGGATTCTATGGATCAAGACCTTCCACCCTGGTGGTTCCAGGTGGCCTTGCCCTGAAGTGCCTTCCTCATATTTTCGCGAGGCCAGAGAAGTTATCCTCTACATAGCCGTGGTATAACTGGCACTGGGGTGTATCCCAAGTGTAGATGGGGTAGAACTGGTATAAGTGGGGGATAACTGGGGTATACATTATCATTGTATCTCCCACGTATGACTGGGTTCGAACCATGGCTATGAGCCATTTACTAAGTGGGATGCACATCGTAGTATACCTCTAAATGTGACTCTACAAGGTTATGGGAAGTAAACTTGTTCACGGGAACGTTCCAGGGAATTGAATGCAGTTGACCAACAAAAAAACATTTTGTAGGATCCGAATCTCAAGGCACTTCACGGCTCATAGCTGCCCTATGCTCCACGATTGATCGGCCAAGAATCGAGTTCTGGCGCCTCATGAAAAGACATGCTTGTTTGTGACATGTTGTGACTCCCCAGGCGTGCTACAAGCAGTTGCCCTCTCCGGGCCAATGGATCTGCAGCTGTTCACTTGCAAACATGTTTGGAGGAAGACTTCTGTCGTGGGTGTGGGGGTCGCTTGTCTAACGGTGTCAATGGTCTAAATCCCAGGCCTCCCCTACACTGGTCCAGCGGAGTCCCGTTGAACAGCTTTCTTTCACAAAGGCCAGCTGTTTCTGAGACAGATTCTTCAGGTTCCTCCACAACTTAATCATAAATTTCTCGTATTTTCCTAATCAAATAGACATGTTGAGGGTATCCCCCATTTTTTCGGCACGTCTTCGCCCTAAGGCAAGTCCCCTGCACGTTGCGAGAAGGACCTGGCAGCTCGGGCGCGCGAAGAAGAGCGCTTGAGGCTGGAAGAAGTGGCACGACAGGTGCCGCGGCGCTGCGGGGTGTGGATACCCCGTATCCATTGCTGGCCATTTTCATGGGAAAAAGATGGAAAAATGATGAGCACGTGGATTTATAGGCACCATAATTTGACGATTCATGCGGGTAGAATTGGAATGGAATCAACAAAATTGGGAAAGTCAGGCTGACGATCGTGAGCCTTCTGGAGACGGGGACCCACGTGGATTGGAAAATTTGAGTTGATGGGCCATTTTTGATCTGTGCCATTTTTGATCGAGCTTAGACACCGACAGGAACAGCGGCTACTTGCTTGTTTCGGTCTCACAAACTTGGAACGCGGATGTCAGCTGTTGCGGACATAGCCATTTTTCGAATATTTCCACTCCGCTCAGGAGCGCGCCCAGTGTGATCAACTGACGGTGGCTGACTTGAAATTCGCTCACCTTGAAGGTCGAAAGATGATGCCTGAACTCAGGGGCTACGAGGCCCGGGTCGGGATCAACTGGATCATCTTTTTTTTGGGAGAATTATGTATGGCTCTTTTTGGGTATATACTGTATATACAGTATACATGTATTATGTATATAGATTTATCAACCGAATGGGATTCGACCAACGGAAATTTCAGGCTCAAAAAGCAACAGATTCCCTGGTTGTTTTTGGTATCAACCATCCAATTTTCTTGGCGCCCATTTTGACGTAAAGCCAAGTAGTCAAAGGCTAGGAACGGGGATCATGATCCACTTGAATCCACTTACTGAGACGAAGGGTGATGATCATCTACTTAGTAAGTGGGATTACCTTCCAAGTGAGTTTGGCTGCGCGCAATGGATCTACCAGAAGAGAGTCATGTGCAGAGATCGATTCCATCATTGATGATGAAGAAGATGATGATGGGACTCTCTGTTGTCATGGATGGCATCTTGATATAGATTTATTCATTTGTGTACGTATGTATATGTATGTATATATATATATGTATGTATTTGCGTATGCATTATATATATATATCTATACATAGTAAGAATGAAGTATGAAAAACATGCAGCCGCAAAGTGATTTTTCGCCATTCCGGTGTACCTGGCGACCTTGATACGATGGATGCGGCACAGGAGATGCCAAAGATGCACCGTGATGGCAATGATGAGGCCGGGGAAAGATGCAGTGGGAGGCAGTTGATGGAGGCAGAAACAAGGGATTTTTGAAAAAACACGAGGGAGTTTATAGCAAGTTTGTAGTCGACATGGAGATTCCAGGAGACAGCTTGGACATGTCATGTAGCTTCCACCAAGCTTGGGATGATTTCCACCTGCAAGGTGAGACCCTCCATTCATAAGTTATAAGGTAGTTTTTTTAATAAAGCCCATTAAATATATCTGTACCCGTAAACCCTAGGTAACCAGGCGATGATTCAACTTAGCTATCCAGCTCAACTTGATCAACCGCGTGATGGTCATTGTTTATGGCCAGTTTCAGGTACCTGGGGGTGCAGCTGGGGTAAAACAAATGGCTGTGAGCATGGTAATTATAGCTATTATGTATCCAATCATAATTGGAACTGAACCCGCAAGTAGCGGCTCAGAATGCTTGGGAAACCAGAGGCACGTGGCAATTGTTGGGTGTCAATGTCCCGTGTCCCGTAGATGGGATGTACCCCCAGAAACTATATCGCATGAAATGATGCAAAAAATGGGTGGGGTATGGTTTGGTCATGTTTGGAAGATGGTTTCCTGGTGTCCCATGCGATATGGCAATTTATGAAATTCATGGGAGGTAGATCTGGGTTGCGTAGAATTCTCCCTTCATGTACATCAATCATTGAGTGGTGTGCGGAGGCAGGTTTTCCAAATTGCACCGATGAAATGAGTCACAGACGCTGCAAGGGTCAACGGATAGATTCCTCTTCTGGATGGAAATTCCAGATGGCCCCAATGGCTCAACCATCTCAACCCTGGCTGCTCTTTGGCAGGCATACATCAATCTGCTGCGCTTCGCAGCATGGAAAGCAGGACATCAGCCGCAGTTCTGAAGAGGTCACCAGAGCCCCGATCCGTTCCACGAGCCATGAGGTCACCAGAGCCCCGATCCGTTCCACGAGCCATGAGTTCTGCAAGTGGGCTGCCATAGTGCCATAGTATTGGCTTATATTGTGTCCTTGTTTAGAAGAGAAGCTGTTGAGCCTCGCAAAGGGCCCCCCATCCGTCTTTGAAATCAGCTGATGTAGACTTGTCGACTCCACACGACTAACACTTGGCCCGACCCTCAAATGATATAGCATCCCCACTGTGCAACCCCACTGTGCAACCCCACTGTGCAAATCGCATCAAGTAGTGATGCTCCATGGCTTGACCCTGGTTCCCAATTGAATCTGCCTTGAGCGTCGCGGCGAAATCCAGCTGCGTGGCTGTGCATAGAGGCGTTGCAACGAGTTCCAGCACTTTGTTGCCTTGGCAAAATGCTTCGTGTACCGTTGGACGATCTGAAAACACACCCATGTTGAAAGATGTTCTATCCTGGCCGACGACAAGAAATTCTTTTTCGCTCTTTCTCCACTTAATTAGGCAATCCCAAAAAAGGAATGATGGTTGCTGGGGGTCTCTGAAATGACTCAAAATGCTGCAGCCTTTGCAGCTTCGAGTGCTTGCCAATGCAGGGCGTGGGACGGTGCGTTGAGGCGTTGGTGGCGTTGGTGGGGGTGAGCTGTGGTCTCGATATGCAGCATGTTGGTATTGTTAGAGTCTTGACATGTTTTGACGACAACTTGGACCATAACGGTCCCCACCTAACGATTGAGTTCCAAGCTTCTTCCATTTTGAATTTGACAAATGTGGTAAACCCAGTAAACCCAATGCCACAACTACCATTTGGGAATGATTTATGCCACCCCCCAAAAATTGGGCGTCCTTTATGAGATTGGCTATCCCACATTATAATATCTCAGGAAACTATTGAAACAGATGTAAAAAATCAAGAATATAAATTTCCAAAAAACAGATCAACATCAGATCAACCATACTGTAGTGATATCTAAGAAAACCATTAAAACACATAAGAAACACCGACTCCAGGGTGCCACAGGTGGCTCAAAACGCTGGCCATGTGGTCCTGGTTCAGTGGCACGGTGCCCAAGGTGCCACAGGCACCGCAGGCGCCCAAACCAGAGCGCTGCAGTGCAGCGCTCTGGTTTGGGCGCCTGCAGTGGCGCCTCGGCGAATGGCATAGTTTTGGGGCGTCCCAGGTATTGGAAACCAATGGAAACCATCAGAGTCCCAAGGAGTCCCTAGCTTTATGAGTTTCAATCCGATTCGGGGTAAGAAGCTCGGGGAGTCAGATTTGCGTGTGGTTCGAGGGTTGAGCCGTGCCCGGATTCTCATTTTCTGCACGACCGTGATCCGATCGATCCCCGTGATTCTCATTTTCAGATAGGGTTTCCATGTTGGCTCCCCCCGTGAAGGGTTGGCCAAAATATGTCGTGGTAAAAATCTTGGAGACTCATTGGAGACCAGAAAAGACCCAAACATGAGTTATCGCAGATATCCTATTCTACCGCACTTACGTCCATTTCTATCCTTCACTTCTCCAAATCTGACGGATGAGGTGATTGGCGGAGGCAACAGTACCAGTTGCCTCCAAAGATGCTTTGCGCTCGCGCACCAAGGTGGGGATGATGTCAGGTGAGGACTGACCTGTTGACCCTTGTTGATTGATTGTAGTAGAGGGTTATTATATAACCGGAACTAACCTACCCGATTTTCTTTAGAGATTGTGAACTAAGCGATAATGACCGATAATGGGAATCCAATGTATGTATGTATGTATGTATAGGGGGATGACAAAGGGTTTTGGACACTGCTCAGATGGCATGGAATTGGCAAAGGTAAGTTGACGCAATGGACGTACAGCCACAACAGTATCATCTTTGGGAGGTGGATCTTCCAATCTCTGACGAATCCTATCAGAGAATTGAGATTCAAATAGCTATGGATTCTATGGATCAAGACCTTCCACCCTGGTGGTTCCAGGTGGCCTTGCCCTGAAGTGCCTTCCTCATATTTTCGCGAGGCCAGAGAAGCTATCCTCTACATAGCCGTGGTATAACTGGCACTGGGGTGTATCCCAAGTGTAGATGGGGTAGAACTGGTATAAGTGGGGGATAACTGGCCATGGGGTATACATTATCATTGTATCTCCCACGTATGACTGGGTTCGAACCATGGCTATGAGCCATTTACTAAGTGGGATGCACATCGTAGTATACCTCTAAATGTGACTCTACAAGGATATGGGAAGTAAAATTGTTCACGGGAAACGTTCCAGGGAATTGAATGCAGTTGACCAACAAAAAACATTTTGTAGGATCCGAATCTCAAGGCACTTCACGGCTCATAGCTGCCCTATGCTCCACGATTGATCGGCCAAGAATCGAGTTCTGGCGCCTCATGAAAAGACATGCTTGTTTGTGACATGTTGTGACTCCCCAGGCGTGCTACAAGCAGTTGCCCTCTCCGGGCCAATGGATCTGCAGCTGCTCACTTGCAAACATGTTGGAGGAAGACTTCTGTCGTGGATGTGGGGGTCGCTTGTCTAACGGTGTCAATGGTCTAAATCCCAGGCCTCCCCTACACTGGTCCAGCGGAGTCCCGTTGAACAGCTTTCTTTCACAAAGGCCAGCTGTTTCTGAGACAGATTCTTCAGGTTCCTCCACAACTTAATCATAAATTTCTCGTATTTTCCTAATCAAATAGACATGTTGAGGGTATCCCCCATTTTTTCGGCACGTCTTCGCCCTAAGGCAAGTCCCCTGCACGTTGCGAGAAGGACCTGGCAGCTCGGGCGCGCGAAGAAGAGCGCTTGAGGCTGGAAGAAGTGGCACGACAGGTGCCGCGGCGCTGCGGGGTGTGGATACCCCGTATCCATTGCTGGCCATTTTCATGGGAAAAAGATGGAAAAATGATGAGCACGTGGATTTATAGGCACCATAATTTGACGATTCATGCGGGTAGAATTGGAATGGAATCAACAAAATTGGGAAAGTCAGGCTGACGATCGTGAGCCTTCTGGAGACGGGGACCCACGTGGATTGGAAAATTTGAGTTGATGGGCCATTTTTGATCTGTGCCATTTTTGATCGAGCTTAGACACCGACAGGAACAGCGGCTACTTGCTTGTTTCGGTCTCACAAACTTGGAACGCGGATAGTCAGCTGTTGCGGACATAGCCATTTTTCGAATATTTCCACTCCGCTCAGGAGCGCGCCCAGTGTGATCAACTGACGGTGGCTGACTTGAAATTCGCTCACCTTGAAGGTCGAAAGATGATGCCTGAACTCAGGGGCTACGAGGCCCGGGTCGGGATCAACTGGATCATCTTTTTTTTGGGAGAATTATGTATGGCTCTTTTTGGGTATATACTGTATATACAGTATACATGTATTATGTATATAGATTTATCAACCGAATGGGACTCGACCAACGGAAATTTCAGGCTCAAAAAGCAACAGATTCCCTGGTTGTTTTTGGTATCAACCATCCAATTTTCTTGGTGCCCATTTTGACGTAAAGCCAAGTAGTCAAAGGCTAGGAACGGGGATCATGATCCACTTGAATCCACTTACTGAGACGTAAGGGTGATGATCATCTACTTAGTAAGTGGGATTACCTTCCAAGTGAGTTTGGCTGCGCGCAATGGATCTACCAGAAGAGAGTCATGTGCAGAGATCGATTCCATCATTGATGATGAAGAAGATGATGATGGGACTCTCTGTTGTCATGGATGGCATCTTGATATAGATTTATTCATTTGTGTACGTATGTATATGTATGCATATATGTATATATATGTATGTATTTGCGTATGCATTATATATATATATCTATACATAGTAAGAATGAAGTATGAAAAACATGCAGCCGCAAAGTGATTTTTCGCCATTCCGGTGTACCTGGCGACCTTGATACGATGGATGCGGCACAGGAGATGCCAAAGATGCACCGTGATGGCAATGATGAGGCCGGGGAAAGATGCAGTGGGAGGCAGTTGATGGCAGAAACAAGGGATTTTTGAAAAAACAAGAGGGAATTTATAGCAAGTTTGTAGTCGACATGGAGATTCCAGGAGACAGCTTGGACATGTCATGTAGCTTCCACCAAGCTTGGGATGATTTCCACCTGCAAGGTGAGACCCTCCATTCATAAGTTATAAGGTAGTTTTTTAAATAAAGCCCATTAAATATATCTGTACCCGTAAACCCTAGGTAACCAGGCGATGATTCAACTTAGCTATCCAGCTCAACTTGATCAACCGCGTGATGGTCATTGTTTATGGCCAGTTTCAGGTACCTGGGGGTGCAGCTGGGGTAAAACAAATGGCTGTGAGCATGGTAATTATAGCTATTATGTATCCAATCATAATTGGAACTGAACCCGCAAGTCGCGGCTCAGAATGCTTGGGAAACCAGAGGCACGTGGCAATTGTTGGGTGTCAATGTCCCGTGTCCCGTACAGTAGATGGGATGTACCCCCAGAAACTATATCGCATGGAATGATGCAAAAAATGGGTTTGGTATGGTTTGGTCATGTTTGGAAGATGGTTTCCTGGTGTCCCATGCGATATGGCAATTTATGAAATTCATGGGAGGTAGATCTGGGTTGCGTAGAATTCTCCCTTCATGTACATCAATCATTGAGTGGTGTGCGGAGGCAGGTTTTCCAAATTGCACCGATGAAATGAGTCACAGACGCTGCAAGGGTCAACGGATAGATTCCTCTTCTGGATGGAAATTCCAGATGGCCCCAATTGCTCAACCATCTCAACCCTGGCTGCTCTTTGGCAGGCATACATCAATCTGCTGCGCTTCGCAGCATGGAAAGCAGGACATCAGCCGCAGTTCTGAAGAGGTCACCAGAGCCCCGATCCGTTCCACGAGCCATGAGGTCACCAGAGCCCCGATCCGTTCCACGAGCCATGAGTTCTGCAAGTGGGCTGCCATAGTGCCATACTATTGGTTTATATTGTGTCCTTGTTTAGAAGAGAAGCTGTTGAGCCTCGCAAAGGGCCCCCCCATCCGTCTTTGAAATCAGCTGATGTAGACTTGTCGACTCCACACGACTAACACTTTTGGTTTTCTAGCAGAGGGGGCTCCATTAGGGAGTCTGGCCCGACCCTCAAATGATATAGCCTTCCCACTGTGCAACCCCACTGTGCAAATCGCATCAAGTAGCTATGCTCAAACTTTCCTAAGCCTTAGCGCAAGTACCTGAGCTTGACATAGCTTGACCCTGGTTCCCAATTGAATCTGCCTTGAGCGTCGCGGCGAAATCCAGCTGCGTGGCTGTGCATAGAGGCGTTGCAACGAGTTCCAGCACTTTGTTGCCTTGGCAAAATGCTTCGTGTACCGTTGGACGATCTGAAAACACACCCATGTTGAAAGATGTTCTATCCTGGCCGACGACAAGAAATTCTTTTTCGCTCTTTCTCCACTTAATTAGGCAATCCCAAAAAAGGAATGATGGTTGCTGGGGGTCTCTGAAATGACTCAAAATGCTGCAGCCTTTGCAGCTTCGAGTGCTTGCCAATGCAGGGCGTGGGACGGTGCGTTGAGGCGTTGGTGGCGTTGGTGGGGGTGAGCTGTGGTCTCGATATGCAGCATGTTGGTATTGTTAGAGTCTTGACATGTTTTGACGACAACTTGGACCATAACGGTCCCCACCTAACGATTGAGTTCCAAGCTTCTTCCATTTTGAATTTGACAAATGTGGTAAACCCAGTAAACCCAATGCCACAACTACCATTTGGGGATGATTTATGCCACCCCCCAAAAATTGGGCGTCCTTTATGAGATTGGCTATCCCACATTATAATATCTCAGACAACTATTGAAACATATGTAAAAAATCATTATATAATTTCCAAAAAACAGATCAACATCAGATCAATCATACTGTAGTGATATCTAAGAAAACCATTAAAACACATAAGAAACACCGACTCCAGGGTGCCACAGGTGGCTCAAAACGCTGGCCATGTGGTCCTGGTTCAGTGGCACGGTGCCCAAGGTGCCACAGGCACCGCAGGCGCCCAAAAACCAGAGCGCTGCAGTGGCGCCTCGGCGAATGGCATAGTTTTGGGGCGTCCCAGGTATTGGAAACCAATGGAAACCATCAGAGTCCCAAGGATTCCCTAGCTTTATGAGTTTCAATCCGATTCGGGGTAAGAAGCTCGGGGAGTCAGATTTGCGTGTGGTTCGAGGGTTGAGCCGTGCCCGGATTCTCATTTTCTGCACGACCGTGATCCGATCGATCCCCGTGATTCTCATTTTCAGATAGGGTTTCCATGTTGGCTCCCCCCGTGAAGGGTTGGCCAAAATATGTCGTGGTAAAAATCTTGGAGACTCATTGGAGACCAGAAAAGACCCAAACATGAGTTATCGCAGATATCCTATTCTACCGCATTTACGTCCATTTCTATCCTTCACTTCTCCAAATCTGACGGATGAGGTGATTGGCGGAGGCAACAGTACCAGTTGCCTCCAAAGATGCTTTGCGCTCGCGCACCAAGGTGGGGATGATGTCAGGTGAGGACTGACCTGTTGACCCTTGTTGATTGATTGTAGTAGGGGGTTATTAACCGGAACTAACCTACCCGATTTTCTTTAGAGATCGTGAACTAGCGATAATGGGAATCCAATGTATGTATGTATAGGGGGATGACAAAGGGTTTTGGACACTGCTCAGATGGCATGGAATTGGCAAAGGTAAGTTGACGCAATGGACGTACAGCCACAACAGTATCATCTTTGGGAGGTGGATCTTCCAATCTCTGACGAATCCTATCAGAGAATTGAGATTCAAATAGCTATGGATTCTATGGATCAAGACCTTCCACCCTGGTGGTTCCAGGTGGCCTTGCCCTGAAGTGCCTTCCTCATATTTTCGCGAGGCCAGAGAAGCTATCCTCTACATAGCCGTGGTATAACTGGCACTGGGGTGTATCCCAAGTGTAGATGGGGTAGAACTGGTATAAGTGGGGGATAACTGGGGTATACATTATCATTGTATCTCCCACGTATGACTGGGTTCGAACCATGGCTATGAGCCATTTACTAAGTGGGATGCACATCGTAGTATACCTCTAAATGTGACTCTACAAGGATATGGGAAGTAAAATTGTTCACGGGAAACGTTCCAGGGAATTGAATGCAGTTGATCAACAAAAAACATTTTGTAGGATCCGAATCTCAAGGCACTTCACGGCTCATAGCTGCCCTATGCTCCACGATTGATCGGCCAAGAATTGAGTTCTGGCGCCTCATGAAAAGACATGCTTGTTTGTGACATGTTGTGACTCCCCAGGCGTGCTACAAGCAGTTGCCCTCTCCGGGCCAATGGATCTGCAGCTGTTCAGTTGCAAACATGTTTGCTGAAGACTTCTGTCGTGGATGTGGGGGTCGCTTGTCTAACGGTGTCAATGGTCTAAATCCCAGGCCTCCCCTACACTGGTCCAGCGGAGTCCCGTTGAACAGCTTTCTTTCACAAAGGCCAGCTGTTTCTGAGACAGATTCTTCAGGTTCCTCCACAGCTTAATCATAAATTTCTCGTATTTTCCTAATCAAATAGACATGTTGAGGGTATCCCCCATTTTTTCGGCACGTCTTCGCCTAAGGCAAGTCCCCTGCACGTTGCGAGAAGGACCTGGCAGCTCGGGCGCGCGAAGAAAAGCGCTTGAGGCTGGAAGAAGTGGCACGACAGGTGCCGCGGCGCTGCGGGGTGTGGATACCCCGTATCCATTGCTGGCCATTTTCATGGGAAAAAGATGGAAAAATGATGAGCACGTGCATTTATAGGCACCATAATTTGACGATTCATGCGGGTAGAATTGGAATGGAATCAACAAAATTGGGAAAGTCAGGCTGACGATCGTGAGCCTTCTGGAGACGGGGACCCACGTGGATTGGAAAATTTGAGTTGATGGGCCATTTTTGATCTGTGCCATTTTTGATCGAGCTTAGACACCGACAGGAACAGCGGCTACTTGCTTGTTTCGGTCTCACAAACTTGGAACGCGGATGTCAGCTGTTGCGGACATAGCCATTTTTCGAATATTTCCACTCCGCTCAGGAGCGCGCCCAGTGTGGGCAACTGACGGCGGCTGACTTGAAATTCGCTCACCTTGAAGGTCGAAAGATGATGCCTGAACTCAGGGGCTACGAGGCCCGGGTCGGGATCAACTGGATCATCTTTTTTTTGGGAGAATTATGTATGGCTCTTTTTGGGTATATACTGTATATACAGTATACATGTATCATGTATATAGATTTATCAACCGAATGGGATTCGACCAACGGAAATTTCAGGCTCAAAAAGCAACAGATTCCCTGGTTGTTTTTGGTATCAACCATCCAATTTTCTTGGCGCCCATTTTGACGTAAAGCCAAGTAGTCAAAGGCTAGGAACGGGGATCATGATCCACTTGAATCCACTTACTGAGACGAAGGGTGATGATCATCTACTTAGTAAGTGGGATTACCTTCCAAGTGAGTTTGGCTGCGCGCAATGGATCTACCAGAAGAGAGTCATGTGCAGAGATCGATTCCATCATTGATGATGAAGAAGATGATGATGGGACTCTCTGTTGTCATGGACGGCATCTTGATATAGATTTATTCATTTGTGTACGTATGTATATGTATATATATATATATATGAGCAACCGTAAAAACCCCGGCAATACTAAACATGTATTCGACGGACATTGGCTTATGGAAATTCATGGAAATTGTTAAAAACACGAGGTAAGCGATGGGACCTTCCCAAATTAGCGATACCCCTTTTCAAGGTTATGTCATCATATTTCTCTAATATCCACATTAGCGATACCCAAATATCACATATTATTCATAGTTCGTCATATATAATACATACAGCAGTTTCTTGCAAGCGATACCAGCGATACCCCCCAAGTTTACCATATATCATTATTGTACAAACGTGTGGTAAGCGATGGGACCTTCCCAAATTTGTGAATGTCCTTTCCGTGAACCTAGGGTTTTCACAATCGCTCATATATGTATGTATTTGCGTATGCATTAAATTATATATATATATCTATACATAGTAAGAATGAAGTATGAAAAACATGCAGCCGCAAAGTGATTTTTCGCCATTCCGGTGTACCTGGCGACCTTGATACGATGGATGCGGCACAGGAGATGCCAAAGATGCACCGTGATGGCAATGATGAGGCCGGGGAAAGATGCAGTGGGAGGCAGTTGATGGCAGAAACAAGGGATTTTTGAAAAAACAAGAGGGAATTTATAGCAAGTTTGTAGTCGACATGGAGATTCCAGGAGACAGCTTGGACATGTCATGTAGCTTCCACCAAGCTTGGGATGATTTCCACCTGCAAGGTGAGACCCTCCATTCATAAGTTATAAGGTAGTTTTTTTTAATAAAGCCCATTAAATATATCTGTACCCGTAAACCCTAGGTAACCAGGCGATGATTCAACTTAGCTATCCAGCTCAACTTGATCAACCGCGTGATGGTCATTGTTTATGGCCAGTTTCAGGTACTTGGGGGTGCAGCTGGGGTAAAACAAATGGCTGTGAGCATGGTAATTATAGCTATTATGTATCCAATCATAATTGGAACTGAACCCGCAAGTAGCGGCTCAGAATGCTTGGGAAACCAGAGGCACGTGGCAATTGTTGGGTGTCAATGTCCCGTGTCCCGTAGATGGGATGTACCCCCAGAAACTATATCGCATGAAATGATGCAAAAAATGGGTTTGGTATGGTTTGGTCATGTTTGGAAGATGGTTTCCTGGTGTCCCATGCGATATGGGCTACCTATGTCGGCGATATGGCAATTTATGAAATTCATGGGAGGTAGATCTGGGTTGCGTAGAATTCTCCCTTCATGTACATCAATCATTGAGTGGTGTGCGGAGGCAGGTTTTCCAAATTGCACCGATGAAATGAGTCACAGACGCTGCAAGGGTCAACGGATAGATTCCTCTTCTGGATGGAAATTCCAGATGGCCCCAATGGCTCAACCATCTCAACCCTGGCTGCTCTTTGGCAGGCATACATCAATCTGCTGCGCTTCGCAGCATGGAAAGCAGGACATCAGCCGCAGTTCTGAAGAGGTCACCAGAGCCCCGATCCGTTCCACGAGCCATGAGGTCACCAGAGCCCCGATCCGTTCCACGAGCCATGAGTTCTGCAAGTGGGCTTGCCATAGTGCCATAGTATTGGCTTATATTGTGTCCTTGTTTAGAAGAGAAGCTGTTGAGCCTCGCAAAGGGCCCCCCATCCGTCTTTGAAATCAGCTGATGTAGACTTGTCGACTCCACACGACTAACACTTTTGGTTTTCTAGCAGAGGGGCTCCATTAGGGAGTCTGGCCCGACCCTCAAATGATATAGCCTCCCCACTGTGCAACCCCACTGTGCAAATCGCATCAAGTAGCTATGCTCAAACTTTCCTAAGCCTTAGCGCAAGTACCTGAGCTTGACATAGCTTGACCCTGGTTCCCAATTGAATCTGCCTTGAGCGTCGCGGCGAAATCCAGCTGCCTGGCTGTGCATAGAGGCGTTGCAACGAGTTCCAGCACTTTGTTGCCTTGGCAAAATGCTTCGTGTACCGTTGGACGATCTGAAAACACACCCATTTTGAAAGATGTTCTATCCTGGCCGACGACAAGAAATTCTTTTTCGCTCTTTCTCCACTTAATTAGGCAATCCCAAATTACTTTACTTCGAGTGATCCCCACCATGACATTTCAAAACAGCTAGTTGACAGCAAGAAGATATTCCAGAAGATATGCCAGATAGAATGCCAGAAGGTATGCCAGATAGAATGCCAGAAGATATGCCAGATATAATGCCAGAAGATCTGCCATATACAATGCCAGAAGATATGCCAGATAGAATGCCAGATAGAATGTCAGAAAAGATGTCAGATAGAATGTCAGAAAGAATGCCAAAGATATGCCAGAAGATATGCCAGATAGAATGTCAGAAAAGATGTCAGATAGAATGTCAGAAGATATGTCAGATAGAATGCCAGAAGATATGCCAGATAGAATGCCAGAAGATATGTAGATATGCCAGATAGAATGCCAGATAGAATGCCAGAAGATTTGCCAGATAGGATGCCAGAAGATATGCCAGATATAATGCCAGAAGATCGGCCATATAGAATGCCAGAAGATATGCCAGATAGAATGCCAGATAGAATGCCAGAAGATTTGCCAGATAGAATGCCAGAAGATATGCCAGAAGATATGCCAGATAGAATGCCAAATAAAATGTCAGAAGATATGTCAGAAGATATGTCAGGGAACAGTTGGCATGGATACTCGCGCTTGAGGTCCGGCAGGGAACACTGGGCGCGGATGGTCGCGGTTGAGGTCCGGCAGGGAACACTGGGCGCGGATGGTCGTGGTTGAGGTCCGGCAGGGAACACTGGGCGCTGATGGTCGTGGTTGAGGTCCGGCAGGGAACACTGGGCGTGGATGGTCGTGGTTGAGGTCCGGCAGGGAACACTGGGCGTGGGTGGTCGTGGTTGAGGTCCGGCAGAGAACACTGTGGATCGCAGGTCGCAGTTGAGCAAGGACGACGAGGACGACGAGGACGACAAGGACGACAAGGATGACAAGGAGGACGAGGAGGAGGAGGACGAGGCAGGAGGAGGCGGAGGAGGAGGAGGAGCAGGAGGAGCAGGAGGAGGAGGAGGCAACTGACATAAAATCTAACAACCCTCACCTGGCAGGTGGGGAAAAAGGAATGATGGTTGCTGGGGGTCTCTGAAATGACTCAAAATGCTGCAGCCTTTGCAGCTTCGAGTGCTTGCCAATGCAGGGCGTGGGACGGTGCGTTGAGGCGTTGGTGGCGTTGGTGGGGGTGAGCTGTGGTCTCGATATGCAGCATGTTGGTATTGTTAGAGTCTTGACATGTTTTGACGACAACTTGGACCATAACGGTCCCCACCTAACGATTGAGTTTCAAGCTTCTTCCATTTTGAATTTGACAAATGTGGTAAACCCAATGCCACAACTACCATTTGGGGATGATTTTTGCCACCCCCCAAAAATTGGGCGTCCTTTATGAGATTGGCTATCCCACATTATAATATCTCAGACAACTATTGAAACATATGTAAAAAATCATTATATAATTTCCAAAAAACAGATCAACATCAGATCAATCATACTGTAGTGATATCTAAGAAAACCATTAAAACACATAAGAACCACCGACTCCAGGGTGCCACAGGTGGCTCAAAACGCTGGCCATGTGGTCCTGGTTCAGTGGCACGGTGCCCAAGGTGCCACAGGCACCGCAGGCGCCAAAACCAGAGCGCTGCAGTGGCGCCTCGGCGAATGGCATAGTTTTGGGGCGTCCCAGGTATTGGAAACCAATGGAAACCATCAGAGTCCCAAGGAGTCCCTAGCTTTATGAGTTTCAATCCGATTCGGGATAAGAAGCTCGGGGATTCAGATTTGCGTGTGGTTCGAGGGTTGATCCGTGCCCGGATTCTGCACGACCGTGATCCGATCGATCCCCGTGATTCTCATTTTCAGATAGGGTTTCCATGTTGGCTCCCCCCGTGAAGGGTTGGCCAAAATATGTCGTGGTAAAAATCTTGGAGACTCATTGGAGACCAGAAAAGACCCAAACATGAGTTATCGCAGATATCCTATTCTACCGCATTTACGTCCATTTCTATCCTTCACTTCTCCAAATCTGACGGATGAGGTGATTGGCGGAGGCAACAGTACCAGTTGCCTCCAAAGATGCTTTGCGCTCGCGCGCCAAGGTGGGGATGATGTCAGGTGAGGACTGACCTGTTGACCCTTGTTGATTGATTGTAGTAGGGGGTTATTAACCGGAACTAACCTACCCGATTTTCTTTAGAGATCGTGAACTAGCGATAATGGGAATCCAATGTATGTATGTATAGGGGGATGACAAAGGGTTTTGGACACTGCTCAGATGGCATGGAATTGGCAAAGGTAAGTTGACGCAATGGACGTACAGCCACAACAGTATCATCTTTGGGAGGTCTTGGCGCGCGAGTGCAAAGCATCTTTGGAGGCCAGTGGTACTGCTGCCTCCGCCAATCACCTCATCCGTCAGATTTGGAGAAGTGAAGGATAGAAATGGACGTAAATGCGGTAGAATAGGATATCATGCGGCGTCGAAGGCTACAGGAAAGGCGCTTCTCAATTACTTGACCTGCCCAAACCCCATTTGCAATGAAGCATAAAGTACGTGTGCAAGTGTAAGTGAACATTCCCTCGCGTAGCATCAAGTACGTGGGCAGTACAAGTAAAATTTCCCAGCCCCCAGTCCAGCCCACCCCACCCCACCCCATTTGTAACGTAGCATCAGGTATGTGCACAAGTGCATGTCAAAATTCCTTGTTGTGTAGCATCAAGTACGGGTGCAAGTGCAAGTGAACGTTACCTACAATTTCCCAGCCGCTAGTAAATACAACAAAATATATACAAACATACAAATACATATCAATACACACACACAAACCCGTACAAATACATACAAATCATACAAATACATACAAAACCGTACGAAAAACATACAAGACATACAAATACATACAAATACATACATATACATACAAATACATACAAACATATACATGCATACACAAACATACAGACCTACATGCCTACATACCTGCGTACCTACATATACACACATGTTATAGTTATTATACATGTATATGTAATACAGAATCAAATATGCTATAACTAAGTTTTTTCCAGTTGGTGTAAGCTACTACACACGTAGAACCACCCGAGGGTCGCGCCGTGGCGCCAGCATGCGCCAGCTGGCCTCGTTTCAGTGGAACCACCCTGCTGGGATGTCCCAAATTCACTTGGGGGTTTCCATAAATGGGGGTACCCCATAAATAGATGGTTTATTTCATGGAAAATCGATCAAATGGATGATAAAATAGGGGCACCGGGGCACCCCTATTTTAGGAAACCCCCATTTCGTAGTCCAAGAAGTATTTTCGTTTGTTGAGAATTCAGATGGACGCTGTTGAAGAATCCGTTCAGATGCCTCATTGCGCCTCTGTTTCGGGCGACAGTGCACAAAGATGCGCGCGGGACCAAAAGGATGCCATGAGGTGCGACTTGGTATGCCATGACCAGCAGCCTCTGCCAGAGATGGCCATACCATCCCAAGGGTCCCCACCTAACGATTGAGTTCCAAGCTTCTTCCATTTTGAATTTGACAAATGTGGTAAACCCAGTAAACCCAATGCCACAACTACCATTTGGGGATGATTTATGCCACCCCCCAAAAATTGGGCGTCCTTTATGAGATTGGCTATCCCACATTGTAATATCTCAGAAAACTATTGAAACAGATGTAAAAAATCATCAATTTCCACAAAACAGATCAACCATACTGTAGTGATATCTAAGAAAACCATTAAAACACATAAGAACCACCGACTCCAGGGTGCCACAGGTGGCTCAAAACGCTGGCCATGTGGTCCTGGTTCAGTGGCACGGTGCCCAAGGTGCCACAGGCACCGCAGGCGCCAAAACCAGAGCGCTGCAGTGGCGCCTCGGCGAATGGCATAGTTTTGGGGCGTCCCAGGTATTGGAAACCAATGGAAACCATCAGAGTCCCAAGGAGTCCCTAGCTTTATGAGTTTCAATCCGATTCGGGGTAAGAAGCTCGGGGATTCAGATTTGCGTGTGGTTCGAGGGTTGATCCGTGCCCGGATTCTGCACGACCGTGATCCGATCGATCCCCGTGATTCTCATTTTCAGATAGGGTTTCCATGTTGGCTCCCCCCGTGAAGGGTTGGCCAAAATATGTCGTGGTAAAAATCTTGGAGACTCATTGGAGACCAGAAAAGACCCAAACATGAGTTATCGCAGATATCCTATTCTACCGCATTTACGTCCATTTCTATCCTTCACTTCTCCAAATCTGACGGATGAGGTGATTGGCGGAGGCAACAGTACCAGTTGCCTCCAAAGATGCTTTGCGCTCGCGCGCCAAGGTGGGGATGATGTCAGGTGAGGACTGACCTGTTGACCCTTGTTGATTGATTGTAGTAGAGGGTTATTATATAACCGGAACTAACCTACCCGATTTTCTTTAGAGATTGTGAACTAAGCGATAATGACCGATAATGGGAATCCAATGTATGTATGTATAGGGGGATGACAAAGGGTTTTGGACACTGCTCAGATGGCATGGAATTCGCAAAGGTAAGTTGACGCAATGGACGTACAGCCACAACAGTATCATCTTTGGGAGGTGGATCTTCCAATCTCTGACGAATCCTATCAGAGAATTGAGATTCAAATAGCTATGGATTCTATGGATCAAGACCTTCCACCCTGGTGGTTCCAGGTGGCCTTGCCCTGAAGTGCCTTCCTCATATTTTCGCGAGGCCAGAGAAGTTATCCTCTACATAGCCGTGGTATAACTGGCACTGGGGTGTATCCCAAGTGTAGATGGGGTAGAACTGGTATAAGTGGGGGATAACTGGGGTATACATTATCATTGTATCTCCCACGTATGACTGGGTTCGAACCATGGCTATGAGCCATTTACTAAGTGGGATGCACATCGTAGTATACCTCTAAATGTGACTCTACAAGGATATGGGAAGTAAAATTGTTCACGGGAAACGTTCCAGGGAATTGAATGCAGTTGATCAACAAAAAAACATTTTGTAGGATCCGAATCTCAAGGCACTTCACGGCTCATAGCTGCCCTATGCTCCACGATTGATCGGCCAAGAATTGAGTTCTGGCGCCTCATGAAAAGACATGCTTGTTTGTGACATGTTGTGACTCCCCAGGCGTGCTACAAGCAGTTGCCCTCTCCGGGCCAATGGATCTGCAGCTGTTCAGTTGCAAACATGTTTGCTGAAGACTTCTGTCGTGGATGTGGGGGTCGCTTGTCTAACGGTGTCAATGGTCTAAATCCCAGGCCTCCCCTACACTGGTCCAGCGGAGTCCCGTTGAACAGCTTTCTTTCACAAAGGCCAGCTGTTTCTGAGACAGATTCTTCAGGTTCCTCCACAGCTTACCGGTAATCATAAATTTCTCGTATTTTCCTAATCAAATAGACATGTTGAGGGTATCCCCCATTTTTTCGGCACGTCTTCGCCCTAAGGCAAGTCCCCTGCACGTTGCGAGAAGGACCTGGCAGCTCGGGCGCGCGAAGAAGAGCGCTTGAGGCTGGAAGAAGTGGCACGACAGGTGCCGTGGCGCTGCGGGGTGTGGATACCCCGTATCGATTTGCTGGCCATTTTCATGGGAAAAAGATGGAAAAATGATGAGCACGTGGATTTATAGGCACCATAATTTGACGATTCATGCGGGTAGAATTGGAATGGAATCAACAAAATTGGGAAAGTCAGGCTGACGATCGTGAGCCTTCTGGAGACGGGGACCCACGTGGATTGGAAAATTTGAGTTGATGGGCCATTTTTGATCTGTGCCATTTTTGATCGAGCTTAGACACCGACAGGAACAGCGGCTACTTGCTTGTTTCGGTCTCACAAACTTGGAACGCGGATGTCAGCTGTTGCGGACATAGCCATTTTTCGAATATTTCCACTCCGCTCAGGAGCGCGCCCAGTGTGGGCAACTGACGGCGGCTGACTTGAAATTCGCTCACCTTGAAGGTCGAAAGATGATGCCTGAACTCAGGGGCTACGAGGCCCGGGTCGGGATCAACTGGATCATCTTTTTTTTTTGGGAGAATTATGTATGGCTCTTTTTGGGTATATACTGTATATACAGTATACATGTATTACGCATATAGATTTATCAACCGAATGGGATTCGACCAACGGAAATTTCAGGCTCAAAAAGCAACAGATTCCCTGGTTGTTTTTGGTATCAACCATCAAATTTTCTTGGCGCCCATTTTGACGTAAAGCCAAGTAGTCAAAGGCTAGGAACGGGGATCATGATCCACTTGAATCCACTTACTGAGACGTAAGGGTGATGATCATCTACTTAGTAAGTGGGATTACCTTCCAAGTGAGTTTGGCTGCGCGCAATGGATCTACCAGAAGAGAGTCATGTGCAGAGATCGATTCCATCATTGATGATGAAGAAGATGATGATGGGACTCTCTGTTGTCATGGATGGCATCTTGATATAGATTTATTCATTTGTGTACGTATGTATATGTATATATATATTTATGTATTTGAGTATGCATTATATATATATATACATCTATACATAGTAAGAATGAAGTATGAAAAACATGCAGCCGCAAAGTGATTTTTCGCCATTCCGGTGTACCTGGCGACCTTGATACGATGGATGCGGCACAGGAGATGCCAAAGATGCACCGTGATGGCAATGATGAGGACGGGGAAAGATGCAGTGGGAGGCAGTTGATGGCAGAAACAAGGGATTTTTGAAAAAACAAGAGGGAATTTATAGCAAGTTTGTAGTCGACATGGAGATTCCAGGAGACAGCTTGGACATGTCATGTAGCTTCCACCAAGCTTGGGATGATTTCCACCTGCAAGGTGAGACCCTCCATTCATAACTTATAAGGTAGTTTTTTTAATAAAGCCCATTAAATATATCTGTACCCGTAAACCCTAGGTAACCAGGCGATGATTCAACTTAGCTATCCAGCTCAACTTGATCAACCGCGTGATGGTCATTGTTTATGGCCAGTTTCAGTTACTTGGGGGTGCAGCTGGGGTAAAACAAATGGCTGTGAGCATGGTAATTATAGCTATTATGTATCCAATCATAATTGGAACTGAACCCGCAAGTAGCGGCTCAGAATGCTTGGGAAACCAGAGGCACGTGGCAATTGTTGGGTGTCAATGTCCCGTGTCCCGTAGATGGGATGTACCCCCAGAAACTATATCGCATGAAATGATGCAAAAAATGGGTGGGGTATGGTTTGGTCATGTTTGGAAGATGGTTTCCTGGTGTCCCATGCGATATGGCAATTTATGAAATTCATGGGAGGTAGATCTGGGTTGCGTAGAATTCTCCCTTCATGTACATCAATCATTGTGTGGTGTGCGGAGGCGGTTTTTCCAAATTGCACCGATGAAATGAGTCACAGACGCTGCAAGGGTCAACGGATAGATTCCTCTTCTGGATGGAAATTCCAGATGGCCCCAATGGCTCAACCATCTCAACCCTGGCTGCTCTTTGGCAGGCATACATCAATCTGCTGCGCTTCGCAGCATGGAAAGCAGGACATCAGCCGCAGTTCTGAAGAGGTCACCAGAGCCCCGATCCGTTCCACGAGCCATGAGTTCTGCAAGTGGGCTGCCATAGTGCCATAGTATTGGCGTATATTGTGTCATTGTGTCCTTGTTTAGAAGAGAAGCTGTTAGTTGAGCCTCGCGAAGGGCCCCCCATCCGTCTTTGAAATCAGCTGATGTAGACTTGTCGACTCCACACGACTAACACTTTTGGTTTTCTAGCAGAGGGGGCTCCATTAGGGAGTCTGGCCCGACCCTCAAATGATATAGCATCCCCACTGTGCAACCCCACTGTGCAAATCGCATCAAGTAGCGATGCTCCATGGCTTGACCCTGGTTCCCAATTGAATCTGCCTTGAGCGTCGCGGCGAAATCCAGCTGCCTGGCTGTGCATAGAGGCGTTGCAACGAGTTCCAGCACTTTGTTGCCTTGGCAAAATGCTTCGTGTACCGTTGGACGATCTGAAAACACACCCATGTTGAAAGATGTTCTATCCTGGCCGACGACAAGAAATTCTTTTTCGCTCTTTCTCCACTTAATTAGGCAATCCCAAAAAAGGAATGATGGTTGCTGGGGGTCTCTGAAATGACTCAAAATGCTGCAGCCTTTGCAGCTTCGAGTGCTTGCCAATGCAGGGCGTGGGACGGTGCGTTGAGGCGTTGGTGGCGTTGGTGGGGGTGAGCTGTGGTCTCGATATGCAGCATGTTGGGTATTGTTAGAGTCTTGACATGTTTTGACGACAACTTGGACCATAACTTATGACAAGCATGAAAGATCGCCTTGTTGAAATTTCATGGACTGGGGATCCAGGATGGCGAAGTCAGGCCTGAGCCGGGTGACCTCAGAGATATTGCGTTGCGTTGACGTTTTCACCGCGTACAGATTTGTAACATTCCCTATTTTGGAAAGACATACCACTCGAATTGGTCAGTTCAGGTCTGATGTCGTGACACTCGGAATCCAGTATGCTTTTTACTCTCATATCAGCGGGAACAAATGCTGTTTGGCCAGAACCATGTGCATTTCTTGTGTGGGAATATTCGTCAAAGGAAGTTGGGAAGCAATCTTCCGAGTTTCCGATAAAATGTAATGCAGTAACAGTACATACATAACAATACATCAGATATCATCATATAACAATACATCACTCACAACAATACATCACACAACAATACATCACATAACAATACATAACATAACAATACAACACATAACAATACATCACACAACAATACGTCACATAACAATACATCACACAACAATACATCACATAACAATACATAACACAACAGTACATCACATAACAACTCATCACATTTCAGAGCATTGCATAACAAAACATCACATAACAATACATCACACAACAATACAACACATAACAATACATCACACAACAATACAACACATAACAATACATCACACAACAATACAACACATAACAATACATCACACAACATGTAACGTAGCATCAGGTATGTGCACAAGTGCATGTCAAAATTCCTTGTTGTGTAGCATCAAGTACGGGTGCAAGTGAACGTTACCACCGCACCCAACTCCATCCCACCCCATCATTTGCGACGTATCATGATATGCGTATGCCAATCAAATACACCTACAATTTCCCAGCCGCTAGTAAATACAACAAAATACACACATACAAATACAATTCAATACACACACACACAAACCCGTACAAATACATACAAATACATACAAATCATACAAATACATACAAAACCGTACGAAAAACATACAACACATACAAATACATACAAATACATACAAATACATACAAATACATACAAATACATACAAACATATACATGCATACACAAACATACAGATCTACATGCCTACATACCTGCGTACCTACATATTCACACATGTTATAGTTATTATGCATGTATAATATATATATATACACAATACAGAATCGAATATGCCAAAACTAAGCTTTGTCCAGTTGGTGTAAGCTACTACACACGTAGAACCACCCGAGGGTCGCGCTACGAGGCGCCAGCATGCGCCAGCTGGCCTCGTTTCAGTGGAACCATCCTGCTGGGATGTCCCAAATTCACTTGGGGGTTTCCATAAATGGGGGTACCCCATAAATAGATGGTTTATTTCATGGAAAATCGATCAAATGGATGATAAAATAGGGGCACCCCTATTTTAGGAAACCCCCATTTCGCAGTCCAAGAAGTATTTTCGTTTGTTGAGAATTCAGATGGACGCTGTTGAAGAATCCGTTCAGATGTCTCATTGCGCATCTGTTTCGGGCGACAGTGCACAAAGATGCGCGCGGGACCAAAAGGATGCCATGAGGTGCGACTTGGTATGCCGTGACCAGCAGCCTCTGCCAGAGATGGCCATACCATCCCAAGGGTCCCCACCTAACGATTGAGTTCCAAGCTTCTTCCATTTTGAATTTGACAAATGTGGTAAACCCAGTAAACCCAATGCCACAACTACCATTTGGGGATGATTTATGCCACCCCCCAAAAATTGGGCGTCCTTCATGAGATTGGCTATCCCACATTATAATATCTCAGAAAACTATTGAAACAGATGTAAAAAATCATTATATAATTTCCAAAAAACAGATCAACATCAGATCAACCATACTGTAGTGATATCTAAGAAAACCATTAAAACACACAAGAAACACCGACTCCACGGTGCCACAGGTGGCTCAAAACGCTGGCCATGTGGTCCTGGTTCAGTGGCACGGTGCCCAAGGTGCCACAGGCACCGCAGGCGCCCAAACCAGAGCGCTGCAGTGGCGCCTCGGCGAATGGCATAGTTTTGGGGCGTCCCAGGTATTGAAAAGCAATGGAAACCATCAGAGTCCCAAGGAGTCCCTAGCTTTACGAGTTTCAATCCGATTCGGGGCAAGAAGCCGGGGATTCAGATTTGCGTGTGGTTCGAGGGTTGATCCGTGCCCGGATTCTGCACGATCGTGATCCGATCGATCCCCGTGATTCTCATTTTCAGATAGGGTTTCCATGTTGGCTCCCCCCGTGAAGGGTTGGCCAAAATATGTCGTGGTAAAAATCTTGGAGACTCATTGGAGACCAGAAAAGACCCAAACATGAGTTATCGCAGATATCCTATTCTACCGCATTTACGTCCATTTCTATCCTTCACTTCTCCAAATCTGACGGATGAGGTGATTGGCGGAGGCAACAGTACCAGTTGCCTCCAAAGATGCTTTGCGCTCGCGCACCAAGGTGGGGATGATGTCAGGTGAGGACTGACCTGTTGACCCTTGTTGATTGATTGTAGTAGGGGGTTATTAACCGGAACTAACCTACCCGATTTTCTTTAGAGATTGTTATTTTAATGTAGACTTAGTACATGTACATAATAATTTACTCCTATTTACGTTGTTGCATGGCTCAAGAAAAAGCTGAGTGTTTCAGGCTGCTTAACCAGTAAATACAGGTTATCAGCCGTATAGCCTTAGTTTTCCCCATAGGTAGTTGATTGCTCTCGGCATTGCTTCCGCCTTGAGCTCATAGGGATTCTCCTTGCCGTGTAGTTTGCGCCATGGCCAACCCTTTGCTACCTATTGTTGACTCCCCTGAAACCATAGACATAAGCACCCCTCCAAGCTCCGAAAGATCAAGGAGTCAGCGTGCAGGTGGAACTCCTCTTACTGAAGCTGTCGCAATGATGCCACAGAACTCAGGTTTTTCACATCGAGGTGTTTTGCCAGCCGCTACCCGGGAGGGTGGGCCGAACGTTCATGGTACTGAAGTTCTGGACATCGAGTGTTCAATCAAATGAATGTAAACCACGATCAACGTGTGATTATTGATCAGCAACACTTTGTGCAGAACAACAAGGTACTCATTCAGACCCATGATCCAGCATACACGGAGATGCTTGAGCTGACAGCCGAAGCGCGTCATCGCATGGCAATAGCCGAAGCGGAAGCTCAGGCCAATCACCGTCACGAAGTTTTGACTGGAAGTCTGAAGGAAGCACTGCAAGTTCGTGAAGCCCAAGAGATCAACCAGGCAAGGATGTTTCTGCGGGAGAATGAGGAGAACATTAAAAGTGAGGCCGTTCAGCATGTCCGTGTCCATGAGGCTCAGTGTACAGAAAAGGTTCAGGCGTACCAGAGAATCTTGGACGCTAACCTCCGTCAATCAATGGCCACTAAGGAGTGCGAGATTGAACGCCTCCGAAGTCAGGCCGCCGAAAAGGAGCGAGCTCAGGAAGAACGCATCAAAAGGCTCGAAGAGCTTGTGATGCAACAGAGTCTTCACAACCAAAAGCTCCAAAGTATGTTGGACTCTCAGCTGTCGCAACCACCTCCGGTCCAAGTTGTGGAAACCGCGACTTTGACTAGGACGGCGGAACCGTATGTCATTTCAGCCCCGATCCCGGCGTGTACAGTTGGCTCTCCGGCCACTTCCGTGCATCCGTCCCTTGACCCTTTCAATGCCGAGACAGTGAACCCACCATATACTGCTCCTCCGATGTTGGCTGGCCCGTATGCTGGCAATACCGACGGGGAAGTTGAGGAGATGGTCATAGGCCGAATCCCAGTAGGTGGTATCAACATCACATACTGTAAGAAAGCAGAGAAAGGTTCTACCCCAGGTCCATCAAACCAAGTTCCCATGAACAATGCCTCGGGAGATCATACCCCAATGTCTGGTCGTACTGTGCCGTATGGGGTTACTGGTCATAGACCTAATAAAGGTCCCAATGATGGCAATAATGCAGGGGGAAATGGAAATGGAGGACCTGGAGGGGGGGACGATGGGGATGATGGGGACGATCATGATGGCTCGCCTGTCCCATCTCCATCGCCAATGCCCGAAGCCCATAAGAAGAAAGATAAGAAGAAGGCGCCAGGCGGTGATGGAGGAGGGGGAGGTGATGACCCTGACAAAGATTCCGATGACAGTGATGAAAAGTTTGTTCGACGTATGAAGAAGTTTTTGGGGGGTGGTTTCAACCATAGCGGGCAGGATGAGAAGCCCAAGGTCAAGGAAGCAGATACCATCAAGCTTCCGGCCATCCCAGGTCCGGAGACATACAGAAATTGGCGCATCAAAACCCGAGAGGCAATAGTCGCAGCGTCGACCAACCCAGATTCAGCATTTGCATGGATTGGAGAGGTTTGGAAAGAAGGACAGACTATTGAAGCCCTCCGGAAGGTGGCGCCGTTTGCAACACTAGATGCCAAGCTCCTGTCAGCTCTAACCAACATCATTACGGGGGATTTTGCCCGAAAGGTTGACACTTTCAAGGAGACCGAAGCCAATGAGGGGAGAATCGTGAGGGGTCGCCAAGTTCTTTTCATGTTACACGACCATTTCAGTACAAACATGAAACATGGCTCAACCTACGCCCTTCAGGATCTGTTTAGTGTCCACCTAAAGGGAGAGAACCTCAAGACATTCATTTCGAATTGGGATCAAGTGCTAGCAGGTATTGTGAAAGTTCCTGAAGAGTCAGTACTGGAAACACTGTTCTATAATCAGGTCAAGAACTGCAAAGCCATAGCCCATGATTTGAATGAGTACCATCGAGCAGACGAAGGCACAGAGAAAAGGAAATATGACTTCCTTGTTTCCGCCGTGCGCAGGCACCTGGATCGTGAACGCCTGGAAACCAACCGAGAGAGGGTTGCTCGGAACCTTTCAGGTACTGCCAAGCCTTCCGCACCTGCCGTCGAAGGAAAGGTAGGTTTCATTCCACGGGGTTACTGTGTTAAGTGGAACAAGGGAGGATGCACTAATGAAAATTGCACGTTCAAACATGAGGTTCCATCCAAGAGAACTCCATCCACCAAACCCAAGAGGGATTCAAGTCGTGGACGATCACCATCAAGAACCCAATCACCCAGAGGTAAGGGGAAGAAGAAGGAATGTATTTTCTGGAAGAGGGGACGTTGTGAGCGGGGTGACAAGTGCAATTTTTCGCACAATGGCCCTGCTGGGAAGCCCAGACAAGCTACTCCCGCAAGATCCAATTCAAGTGGAAAGAAAGGGGGTAAGAAGACATCTAGAAGTCCCGGCAGAAAGTCATCAAGAAGCCCCGGCAACAAGAGGAGCCCCCGAAATTCCAGATCACCTAAGGGGAATAAGAACAGCTCAAGCGGTGGCAAGGCAACTCCAGCAGCGGTTTGTCTGGTAGCCTCAATGCTCGCATCCGTGGCCAGTGGTTTCGCAATCGATCCCATGAAGGTATGCTGTCCCAGCATTGGCATCCGCTTCTCCGATGAGGTTGATGTGCACCGGGTTGCAGCCCGTGGGAACATGTGGCCTATTGTGAATGGCGAACCAAAGAAGCGAACCACCTATCCATGGGGTCACAAGTTTGATGTCGACCAACAGGCCGTTAATGATAGTGCATTGTCTGCCACTATGCTTTCGGGTGCTGTTGAAAACTCTCTGAAGGGAATCACAGCCAAATGTAACTACGAATGCGATACCGAATTTGGTTGTGGTTATTGCATTCCGAAAGGCATTGTTGCTGCCCCTGCCGAATCAAGGGAAATGATTGAAGGTTCGATCGACTTGCAGCTCGATTGGATTGCAGACACAGGCAGTGCCCAAGATCTGGTTTCTCAAGGGGAATTGCCTGATGATTATGGGTACTACTCATCCAATCCAATACGAATGATGACTGCTAATGGTGAAAGTTCACCCATGAAACAAGGAAAAGTTTTCGTCCCCAGATTGGGTAAGACGGTAGATCCATACCTAGTCAAAAGCACTCCTGCCGTACTTTCCGTAGGAATGAGATGCATTGACGATGGTTACGATTTCATATGGAAGGGTTCAAAGGGTGAGGACCCCTATTTCGTCAAACCTGATGGTAAAGTGGTCCCACTGACCGTGAACGACTACGTACCCTACCTTGCTGCCAAGCCAGGACGTCTCACTGCTGCACCCGCAAAGAAGGTTGCACGCCGGGAGGCCGTGCCGGTCGCCGACGTGGAGCCTGAAAGGGATCCAGGGGAGTTTATTATCCACATTGAAAGGGATGAGCCTCCTCTCGATATAGATGGGTTTGTAGCTGAGATGGAAGAATTAGCTTCATCTGATCCCCCGAAGGGAACGCCTAGACCAGATAGTTCCAGACCTGACGTTGCGTATGTGGATGTTTCGGGCAAGAAGAAAGAAGAGGGCAAAGATTCATCTAGTCCTCCGGAAGGAGAGGCCTTTGTTGTGGACTTTTCATCAAAACGGAGTCAAGGTGAACAGGCACTTAGGGAAGAAGCAAAATCTAAGAGCCATCTACTTTGTCACTTGCCCAAGAATCCATATTGCAAGACCTGCCAGCAAGCCAAAATGTTGAAGCCCCCATCCCGAGTATCCGGGGGGTCCAAGCACATCGATGCCGAAAGATTTGCAGAACACATCACTGCCGACTTTCTAATCGCCGCTACCGATGAGGAAGCGGGGCTTGATGGAGAACAGGTTGCAATGGTTGTGAAGGATGTGGCCACCGATTTCATGTACATCTATCCCAGTGGTAGGAGAACGGCCAAGGATGCTGTTTTGGCCTTAAAGCACTTCATAGGACACAACGACGAAGTTGGCATTATGTATAGTGACTATAGTGACAATGCTCCCGAACTTTTGAGTGCACTAAAGGATCTCAAATGGAGACATGTGCTTAGTAAGGAGTACATTTCGAAGTCCAATGCTATTGCCGAAAGATCCATTAGATCAGTCCTTGAAGGTGCCAGGGTCAATCTCCACCAAGCCGGGTTACATCACATGTACTGGCCGCATGCTGCACGCCATTGGTGCATGATGCAGAACGTCATGTCTCGAACAGGGTCAGACACTCCCTGGAAGATTCGTTTTGGGGAAAACTTTAAGGGTCCCCTGATCCCGTTTGGATGTCGTATCGACTATTGGAATGGTCCCAGAAAACGACGGGTAAAGGATGGACTCAAGTTTGAAGCCACATCAAGTGAAGGCATCTTCATGGGGTATGCAATTCATCCTGAATTCATGTGGAAAGAAGAATTCTTTGTTGCATCATTGAAACAACTAATTGACAATGCATTCGATGAACCCGCACAAATCATGAGAGTGATTAAGATCAACAGAGTAGACGATATCGTTTTCCCTCTATCAAACCGGCCAGCTCAATTCAAGGGCATCGCATCCGATGATCAAGATGATGACGATGGGGTCGATCGTGACCTTTCAGATCGGTCGATCGTGACCTTTCAGATCAAGATGCAAAGCCTGCGCGGGAGCCAGAGCCGACGGCAAAACAAATCGAAGACGGGGAAATGCCTCAATCGTCAAGTGCAAGTGCCGTTTATAATCCAACATGGTTAGGATTTCTCAGACATGTTGACAACAGAGAAGGTTGGTATGAATATGCCGATGCTCACATAAACGTCAAAGAATTTTCTGAGAACTTCATTGAACCAACAAGCAAGTTAAAAACAGAAGAATTCCCGTTTAGGACAACTTGTTATAAGTTGGATGGAGTATGGCATGTACTTGAATCAAATTTGAACATTGATCCACCCGATGGGGACTTAGAAGAGGGAACACTCCCGTGTGAGGTAATGACCACAATTTTCTCAAAAGAACCCATTGAACTTTGTGAGAAACCTCCGGAAGTCATCCCTGACCCTGTCGACGAGGAAGATGATCTTGTTGAGGTTATTAACCCAAAGACCGGTGAGGTGGAAAAGATATCAAAGAACGATCCCACTTTCTATGATGCGGGGGGATTCAAGGCTAGAAAATATAACAAGTCCAGTAAGCCTAAGGATATTCCACCTTTTGTTTGGCAAGCAATGTCTATCAAGGCCAGACGTGAAGCCATCCGGGAGGAACAGGTCAAAATCGCCGCCAAGGAAGCCGAGAAGAAACTCAAGGCAAGATCCGAGGCCGAATTGAAAAGACTTGAGAAAAAGAAACCCGGAGTCACGAGTATCATCAATCAACTCCACAATGCATACGAGGAATGTGATGTACCTGCCATGCCTACTTGTGCCTACTCTGAACAACGGCATCGTGTCAAGTTAGCCAGGGTTAGTATCCAAAGTGGCGAAAGGGCTATCAACACCTTAGTAGCCAGACCAGTTAATCGAAAGGAAATTAGGTCCAGTCCCAAAGCCCAAGAGGCATTGGACATCGAATGGAACAAACTGGTTAAGAAAACAGCCTGGTTATATGACACTGTAGCCGAATGGAAAACAGTTTCAGACAAAGCCAAGAAATCAGGCAAAAAGGTTCATGTTGGCAAGGTATTCGAGATCTGCGTTGAAAAGGGCAGTGAACTCCCTGAAGGCCATAAGCTTAGAAAATTTAAAGGGAGAACTGTTTTTCAGGGTAACAATGTGATGGACGAAAATTCTGACACAGCATTGTTGTCAGAATTAGGATCATCCCCAGCTACCATGGAAGCAGGTAAGGCTGTCGATGCATATGGATCTCAACCGGGCCATACAGCCGAACAGAACGATGGAGTACAAGCATATACTCAAGCATTGATGGAGGGAATTGAAACTTGGGTTGAAATTCCACGTGATAGATGGCCCAAAGACTGGGTAGGAAGATTCATCAGACCAGTGGTATTATTAAGAATCGCATTGTACGGGCACCCCGATTCGGGGGGTCTTTGGGAGCGTCACTGTGAAGCGATGCTCCAAGCAGTGGGGTTCATAATGCCAGATCCGGAAGGCTGGCCGTCGGTGTTCTTTCATCCCGAACTGAAGCTTCTGTTAGTGGTATATGTGGATGACTTCAAAATGGCTGGACCCATAGAGTCAATGTCAAAGGGCTGGAAACTCATTGCATCCAAGATTGACATGGACACACCCGGGCAAGTTAATCGATATCTTGGTTGCGATCACATACAAGAAAAGAATGTTCTTCTTTCTAAAGATGATCACCCATTTGCCTACCTTTTTGACAAATCCTTGCCTGACCCAGCCGCGAAAACCGCCGCTGCAGCGCACAGGACGCAAGACTTTTGGGAAGTCGAGCCAGGACATGGGGTTTATATCCGACACCACTGCCAACCCCGTAAGGGTTACTATGTGCCTGATGAAGATGTCATCCGTGATTGTGAGTTGTCAAGCATCCGATATACCGATGCGATGTTCAGCTCACCGGAAGGTGATGTCATTCCTGAATGGGATCAATACGTTGATGAATCAGGCAGATTAGCCCAGGGGAAGAAGCATGCCAACATGTGGGTAGGTGCAACTTATCTTTTCACAAAGGGTTGCGCTGATCCAAAGGCAGCACTGGCATCAATTAAGAGGGACAAAGGTGAAGCCAAAAAGAAAGCCAGAGCACAAGGCTTCTCATACCTGGATCAACTGTTCGATGACCAACCATGTATGACTAAGCCTGTAACAGTCATGTTGTACGACATGAAGCCCTTCCTGCAATCATGTGTGGATCGATACACTCAATTAGCTGGTAGGGATGCCAAGCCGATGAAAAAGGTTGCAACACCGTTTCACGAAGAACGGATAGCTAGACCAGTCACCGATGAGTCCGAAAGGAAAGGAGTACTTGCCCCAATAGCAGCAAGGGTCTTAATGAAGATACTATTTGCAGCTAGAATGGCAAGGTACGACTTGCTAAGAGCCGTCCAAGGCTTAGCGGCACGAGTGACGAAATGGTCATCCGACTGTGACCGAGCTTTGCATCGACTTGTCTGTTACATAGACTCAACAATAGATGTCAAGTTGAAGGCTTTCATAGGTGATCCTTTATGCAAATGCCGTCTGTGGTGTTTCGCCGACGCAGATCATGCCGGGGAATACGATAATCGTAGTACCACAGGATGTTTCCTAGTACTCATAGGACCCAACACGTACTTCCCATTAACTGCATTCTCAAAGAAACAAACTTCTGTGTCAATGTCCAGTACTGAATCTGAAGTAGTTGCAGCAAACATATCCCTGCGTGCTGTAGGTCTACCTTCCTCCGGTTTATGGGCGTACCTCCAGAACGCGGGGGGAGATGAGGCCAAGAAGCATAGCACTCCGGGAGGATTGCCGAACACTTCAATAACTACCCAAAAAGAAAAGGATGGGGAGTACTGGGAGTTCATAAGACATAGACGTATTCTGGTGAGAGTGCATCCCAAAAGTAGATCATCCCTATTCGACCCAACATCCAGCAAGACGATCCCGTTGCCGGTTCATCGCCTTGGCAACGCAAGGACTACGTTGATGGTCACCAAGGATGGCATCGATTTCCGTCAGGACCATTGGAGACGGAATCGGAGTTCTACATCGGGAGACATCTGGGAGGGCAAGACCTACTTCAGGGTCTACGGTCCGTACGAGGTGGACTACAATGTGGAGTCCCACGAGCTCAGAGAAGCACTCACAGATTGGGAATTCATTGGAATGGAAAGAATGGGAGAAAACATGATTACCCTTTTTCCCCCAAAGAGCCTTGAAGGTGTTTTTGTTGAAGACAATCAGGCAACAATCAAGATCTTGGAAAATGGCAAGTCCCCAACATTCAGGCATACCGACAAGACTCAACGGGTTAATTTATCTTGGTTAAGTGAGCAGTTTAAAAGAAGGTGGTACAAACTCGTCCATGGGCCCTCCATGATCCAGGCCGCAGACATTTTAACTAAGCCATTCACCAATTCCGAGAAATGGAAGTTTGCACTGGCTTTGTTGTCTCACGTCCATGTCATCCCCAAGGGACCAAAGAAAAGCGAGTCTAAGACCACCGGACCCAATCAGGCTGCTGCGGCACCTGGCTGCTCGAGGGAACTCCGAGCCGGTCCGAAGCCTAATCGACTATTGGTGGAGGTCTGTTGTCACGAGGAGTCCAAGCTGAGTGAACCCCGTGAAGAGTCGAAGGGTTGCCATATCTTGCAATTCACTGAAAAGAATGATCTTCTTAATGTGGTTGTTCGGAAGGAGATTGCCCGACAAGTGAATGAATTTGATGGTGAAGTACTTGTTTGGGTTAGTATACCGTGCACGGGGGGTACATCATGGTCTTATGTAAACCTTAAACACCCCACAGCAGCGGCCAAAGTTAGAAGACATGTGAAAATCTTCCATGGACTTTGGACTGCCTTCCTGCACTTCATGTCATTGATCAAGAAAGAAGTGTTCATTGCAATTGAATGGCCCCGCAACTGTCGATACTGGAAGTTGAGGAAAGTTGCACAGTTTCTGAACTCAAGACAACTGATTACGTTCAATTTTCATGGATGCATGGTCGGAATAAGAAACAAAGACGAAGTTCCCATTAAAAAGCCTTGGACCATTGCCACAAACCTGTTGTCACTGGGATGTGAAATGTCGAAGTTCCAATGTGACCACTCGCATGAGCATGTTCAAGGGAGAGGCAAGGATCTTAAGGCCACAGAAAGGTACACGTTCGTCATGACGGACCTTGTTCACTCGGTCTTTCGATCAGCAACTTTTGAAGCTCACATCACGCTCGTCGCTGTTCGCATTCACCCGATGGCTGGCCCTCCTGGGAATGCCGAGACGTTGACAAGCTGGGTGCCCGACGAAGAGAGGGTCTCAGTCTATCAGCGCATCGTGCAATGGGAGGAACGCTTGAAGGAGCTGAGGACTTCCTGTGTGGGTGTCGCCTATGAAGATGGCATGTCTGGAGTCCAGACGCTCGGCGGGAGCCAGCAGCCGGTTGACATTGTGATCGACGCATGCCTCTGTTCGGACATCGAGAAGAATTTCAAGTCCTACAAAGGCATCCTCACGCTGTTTGAAACCGTTCCCCAGGCCATCTTTGGCCATGTGGACTGCCCACCGGAAGGTGAGGTCGACGTGCTTGTGATTGGTGACTCCTCCACGGCTCTGGTTGACTATCCAGACGATCCCAAGAAGAGAAAGGTGATCAGCCTGGGGGAGATCCTTGCACAGTCGCCGCCTACTGGTGTGCGCAAGGTCCATTGGAAAATGCGTTGGGGGAAAGGCCTTGGTTCCATCCACACAGGTATCTGGGAAGCCATGGACGAGATTGCCGAGACGTGCAAGAAGGAGGGCATCCCACAGATACCGACCCTGGTCCTTATCGGATGGGCAGGAAATGACGTGTACGGTGAGGGTGGATATCGTGGATGCACATGGATCCATCAGTCACGGTACAGCCGAACTCCTGCCGACCGGAAGGTCGCTGCTGAATTTACTGAGAAGCAGCATCGAAGGGTCATCAACGCAATGGACGAGATCATCAAGATGCGAAGGCATACCATGATCTATGACATTGTGGTCTTCGGTTGTGGAGACTCCTATTCATATGGACTCCCACCGTCATATGGGCTGGAGATGGGTCGGTGCTTTGGACATCTCATTGCTGGGGGGGTGAGGTGCGTTTCGACGTGCATGCCCTCGGCATTCAGCACGAGGTATGACAAGCTCCACATGACGGACCTCCCATCGAACCGAACTCTCATGATAAAGTTTTTGAGGTCCATGATCCGAGCCCATTTGATCGTTATGCAGATCGAAGAATTGGAGCCAATCTTGCGCCAGAAGGCGTCATTCTTGGATGACGACCCCGAAGAACGCATGAAGATTGTCTATCAGTACCCGAACCTGGCCCAGTTCAAGTTCTCACTCTCCAAGACGGACCAAGTCCAGGCGGCTCTCAACCGTGCGGCACTTCCAGTTTCTCTCGCCCAGGAAGCCCAGACTGCTGATGAGCACCTCATGGACTACATGGCCGAGCTAAATGAAGTCGCCGAGGATGAAGCCACCCGGGAGGGTGCGCCGAAACCCATTGAGTTTACGGAGAGTGACCTCAAATCCATCGTGCCAGTCTTCAAGGACGACGTGGATTCTGATGAGGAAGAGGCCAGATTGAGGGAGCATCTACAGGCTGATTTTGATGATGCCGCCGATGCCGACTGGTCTCCGGTGCGGAGCGAAGCAACGGAGAACATCCCTGGAATTGATGAGTGGGAAGCCATCGACGACTCCCGCCCCGACATTGTGCACAACATCTTTGATCGTGAAGACAATGTTGAAAGCCACACTGAGGTGGACTATGGGGCAGACATTGAGGAAACAGCGGGGCCTGTCGATGAGTTTGCTGACGCCATCGTGATCCAGGACGACGCCATGGACGTCGACAAGACCGAGACCGAGACCAAGGACGATGCCGGGAATCTGGACGATGTCATGGTGATTGAAGAGCCAGAAACCGGCCACCCTGCGGTCGAGGTCACGAATGAAGAGTCCAAGGCGCCAGAGACGGAGGAGGCTGTTGCCGGGGGGGACCCTGTGCCTGTTGTTGATGTTGAGAAAACGGAGGGCAACGTCGCCACTTCTGAGACGGTTGCCACCGATGCCAACACCACCACAGCTGAGGGGTCAAAGCTCGCCGGGAGGCCTGCCAGTGATGAGAAAGCAGCATCATCGTCAGCAAAGCCCAAGCCAGAGGCAAAGAAGATGCCATTGAGTCATCACACCGCCAAGGCACCCACTAAGATGATGGATGATGTTGCCAAGCTCAAGCTCGAGCAGGCGAAGGAGAGGCTTGAAGATTCGGTATGGCTTGATCCGACTGACTTGAACAGCAGGATCCCGTACAAGAACATCAATGCCAATGGCCGTCTCCGAGAAATCTCAGGAAAGATGTCGATGTACCTTCGCGGTCACGCACTTGCTGATGGTTATCCATCGCCGGAGATGGACTTCACTGACTTGTCAATGGATTGGGAGGAGCTGCGCCACCACTTGAACAACAAGATCAGGAACGTGGTTGATTGGGAAATTCTCCAAGTCATCCGCAGCAGCGACACCCGACGATTCCAATTGCAAGTCCGTCGACCTGACAATGAGAAAGCCATCTGGAAGGGTGTGCCATGGCAGCCGATTCGTGTCCGAGCCTACCAAGGACACAATGCCTTTGTGCTCAAGAAGGGAAAATTTGCTCCCATGATCCGTGACCTTTACACATTGGATCCGGACTTCACAAAGGAAAAGGTTGACGCGGGTGACATCCCCAGAGCAAATTTCAGACCCGATCTCGTCCCGGAATTTGACGACTTCCCCAGAATCATCTACCATTCTTGCGACAAGGGGGTTGTGTCACAGATCATCCAACATGGCTTGATCCCGGGAGGGTGGCCGAAGTCTTCTGGACGTGCCCACAGCTACTTCATTGCGACGCACCCATGGGATGCCAACATGAAGAAGCTCGCGGGGACGCGGGCCGGAAAGCCATTTTATGTAGCAATTGACGTGGAGATGGCAATGCAAGTGGGGGCCCGTCTGTTTCGAACAGACGAGGCGATCATGACCCCGGATTGGATCCCCAATGAAGCCATCATCTGCGTATACAATGCGGCCGAACGGGAGTTCTATTGGTCGAATAGAGCATACGCTGCAGGACGCAAAAGCTACAACGAGCGGGTCAAGAAGTCAAAGGATCAGGGCGAAAGTGTTGTCCAAGCCCTCGTCCAGTCGAAGCGTGGCAAGAGCATGGATATGCTGTTGGAGCAGTGGTCGTCATTTTTGACAGGAGTGGAGCCCGGCAAATTCTTTGCATTGGTTCAGCCCAAAGCCCTTTCAGGTGTGATCCGCGACATGGAGGCCGCAGAAGGCATTGAGTCCGAAGAGATGAAGAACTATCTGTTTGCCTACTATGCGGCGGTGTCCAACTCTGAGATCATTGAAGGACGAGGAAAGGGCAAAGGCAAGAACCGTGGAAAAGGAAAGGGCCGCCACCCGGGAGGGAAGGCCGGTGTCATCACCCAGATGAGGATCGAGGACCTCAAGTACCATGATTGCGTCGCCGCCCAAAAGGTGACCATTCCCTTCCGAAAATGTGAGAAATGCGACCACAATATGCTGGACGGCATGGCAAAATGCCCCTCTTGCTACATTTCTATGGAGGCATGGAGCGATAACAGAGTGGCAACTGAAGTCTGCCGGTTGGAAAGCCGTGCCGCAGAGATCCATGGCGTATTCGCCCTCAGCCAAGTCAGCCAGGTGCAGCCCAGAAAGCACCGAGCTGGATCTGAGGCACGCCAGAGGAACCGTGCGGGACGTTCCAATTTCGGCGTCATGAAGGACGGGGCGAAGAAGGAAGTCAAAAAGCTCAAGAAAACTGGCTTCGCTTCCATCAGAGAGAGGATGGAGAATGACCCGTTTTTTATGTATAATTGCAGTATTGCCCAGCTTACTCCTCCATGTTGTGACTTCCTCCAGAGGCTCGGAAGTTGCATTTCTCCGGACGTGGGGCGCTCATTCGAAGCCAGGAGAGAAGGCAAAGGCACGGATGTCAAAACAAGACTGATCTTCATGCCATATCAGAGCAGAGACACGAGGAAGCCTCTCGATGTGTCAAATGAGGCAATGGTGTGCCACTCCGGCAGGTTCTTCAGCCTCGCCCAGTTCGCAGTTTACACTTCGAAACTGGCTCCAGCGCGAGGGGAACCCGCGCCGACTATCTATGGATTCTCTGGCAGCATCTTGATCCTCGATGAACAGCCGCTCAAGGAAAACTATGACGATCTCGTCAGCTTCGCGATCCAAAATTGGACCGACAATCATGGTGCTTTGGATTGGAATGTCCACACTGATGAGCCTATTGCAGAGGCGAGTGACGTGACATTTCCAGCAGCCATGGGTCCAAAGAAGACGGAAGGATTGATTGACAATCCACGCCGTAACTTCGACCCGAGGATCACGGAGAGGTATCGTCCCGAGGCCACAACTTGGAGAATGTCCTCATACGATGAGCCCCAGGAAGGTTGCTATCGGTGTGGGGCCCAAGACCACTGGCAGAGGGACTGCCCTTACCGCGGCATGGGCGCACATTACACGCGCCGTGTTCAAAGAGGTGAATGGGGATATGCCCGGGACGAAAGTGACGGCCATCGCAGGTCTGGGTGGTATGCCGACCAATGGCGTTATGCTGATAGCTGGCGCCAGTGGAACTATGGCTACGAGGACAGGAGGTGGGGAAAAGGGAAGAATGACCCCAAGGGCAAGACCCACGACACCAGCTACGTCAAAGGACCTGCCAAAGGAAAAGGCAAGGGAAAAGGACGCAGCTACTCGGGAGGGTATGCCGCAGATCGCGAACGTGAGAGATCTCCACCCCCTTCTGGTGGTGCATCTTCGTCCGCTGGGCCTCCGCCTCAAGAGTACTGCCCTGGGCGTAACACCAGAGTGATTGATGCTACGACCCATGAGACCGTCACGAGCCATGGTGTGATCAGAGAACGTGTTGTCGAAGAAGCCGATGGCACTATGTACACTGAGATCACATTCCCTGATGGCACAGTTGAACGGGATTATTGGTAAAAGGCTATGAATTTATCAGCTTAAATTTTGTTGAATTCAAATCTATTACATTCGTCGATGAGATCAATCTCATTAAATTTGTTTTTCAATTTTTGCCTTGAAGCACATTTTTGCCAATCTTCCCCATGGCTAGGAGTAGAAGTTTAGCCGTGGCGGAAGCCCGGCCATGTGCATTCGTTTTAGGGCATTGCTTTGTACAGGCGTGTCTTGATGTGACCATATGACTCTGTTCCCACGTGCATCAAAGCCGTGACGGGAGTCCGGCCATGTCATTCCTTCGTCTGCATCCGTTTGCATCCGAGCCAAAAGTTTTGCATCCGCCTTCGCATTTGAGGGTCTTCGTTGTCTTGCAGTTTTTGTGCACTGTATAGCTAATTTTCCTATGCACACTTTTTACAAGTTGTCTTTGTGCTGAACATCATCTTTTATTTCGCGACAGCTGGAGTCATGTACATGTTAACATTTTTGACCTTTGTCTTGCTCAGGTCCGTTGAGATCTACTTCGGCTTCCTGCCTCCGCTTAAGCTGCGGGCGGCGGGGGTTATTTTAATGTAGACTTAGTACATGTACATAATAATTTACTCCTATTTACGTTGTTGCATGGCTCAAGAAAAAGCTGAGTGTTTCAGGCTGCTTAACCAGTAAACACAATTGTGAACTAAGCGATAATGACCGATAATGGGAATCCAATGTATGTATGTATGTATAGGGGGATGACAAAGGGTTTTGGACACTGCTCAGATGGCATGGAATTCGCAAAGGTAAGTTGACGCAATGGACGTACAGCCACAACAGTATCATCTTTGGGAGGTGGATCTTCCAATCTCTGACGAATCCTATCAGAGAATTGAGATTCAAATAGCTATGGATTCTATGGATCAAGACCTTCCACCCTGGTGGTTCCAGGTGGCCTTGCCCTGAAGTGCCTTCCTCATATTTTCGCGAGGCCAGAGAAGTTATCCTCTACATAGCCGTGGTATAACTGGCACTGGGGTGTATCCCAAGTGTAGATGGGGTAGAACTGGTATAAGTGGGGGATAACTGGGGTATACATTATCATTGTATCTCCCACGTATGACTGGGTTCGAACCATGGCTATGAGCCATTTACTAAGTGGGATGCACATCGTAGTATACCTCTAAATGTGACTCTACAAGGATATGGGAAGTAAAATTGTTCACGGGAAACGTTCCAGGGAATTGAATGCAGTTGACCAACAAAAAACATTTTGTAGGATCCGAATCTCAAGGCACTTCACGGCTCATAGCTGCCCTATGCTACACGATTGATCGGCCAAGAATTGAGTTCTGGCGCCTCATGAAAAGACATGCTTGTTTGTGACATCTTGTGACTCCCCAGGCGTGCTACAAGCAGTTGCCCTCTCCGGGCCAATGGATCTGCAGCTGTTCACTTGCAAACATGTTGGAGGAAGACTTCTGTCGTGGCTGTGGGGGTCGCTTGTCTGCAAGCGACCCCCACAGCCAGGACAGAAGTCTTCCTCCAACATGTTTGCAAGTGAACAGCTGCAGAGGTCTGCATCCCAGGCCTCCCCTACACTGGTCCAGCGGAGTCCCGTTGAACAGCTTTCTTTCACAAAGGCCAGCTGTTTCTGAGACAGATTCTTCAGGTTCCTCCACAGCTTAATCATAATTTTCTCGTATTTTTCTAATCAAATAGACATGTTGAGGGTATCCCCCATTTTTTCGGCACGTCTTCGCCCTAAGGCAAATCCCCTGCACGTTGCGAGAAGGACCTGGCAGCTCGGGCGCGCGAAGAAGAGCGCTTGAGGCTGGAAGAAGTGGCACGACAGGTGCCGCGGCGCTGCGGGGTGTGGATACCCCGTATCCATTGCTGGCCATTTTCATGGGAAAAAGATGGAAAAATGATGAGCACGTGGATTTATAGGCACCATAATTTGACGATTCATGCGGGTAGAATTGGAATGGAATCAACAAAATTGGGAAAGTCAGGCTGACGATCGTGAGCCTTCTGGAGACGGGGACCCACGTGGATTGGAAAATTTGAGTTGATGGGCCATTTTTGATCTGTGCCATTTTTGATCGAGCTTAGACACCGACAGGAACAGCGGCTACTTGCTTGTTTCGGTCTCACAAACTTGGAACGCGGATGTCAGCTGTTGCGGACATAGCCATTTTTCGAATATTTCCACTCCGCTCAGGAGCGCGCCCAGTGTGGGCAACTGACGGCGGCTGACTTGAAATTCGCTCACCTTGAAGGTCGAAAGATGATGCCTGAACTCAAATGGGTCACAGACGCTGCAAGGGTCAACGGATAGATTCCTCTTCTGGATGGAAATTCCAGATGGCCCCAATGGCTCAACCATCTCAACCCTGGCTGCTCTTTGGCAGGCATACATCAATCTGCTGCGCTTCGCAGCATGGAAAGCAGGACATCCGCCGCAGTTCTGAAGAGGTCACCAGAGCCCCGATCCGTTCCACGAGCCATGAGGTCACCAGAGCCCCGATCCGTTCCACGAGCCATGAGTTCTGCAAGTGGGCTGCCATAGTGCCATACTATTGGTTTATATTGTGTCCTTGTTTAGAAGAGAAGCTGTTGAGCCTCGCAAAGGGCCCCCCCATCCGTCTTTGAAATCAGCTGATGTAGACTTGTCGACTCCACACGACTAACACTTTTGGTTTTCTAGCAGAGGGGGCTCCATTAGGGAGTCTGGCCCGACCCTCAAATGATATAGCCTTCCCACTGTGCAACCCCACTGTGCAAATCGCATCAAGTAGCTATGCTCAAACTTTCCTAAGCCTTAGCGCAAGTACCTGAGCTTGACATAGCTTGACCCTGGTTCCCAATTGAATCTGCCTTGAGCGTCGCGGCGAAATCCAGCTGCGTGGCTGTGCATAGAGGCGTTGCAACGAGTTCCAGCACTTTGTTGCCTTGGCAAAATGCTTCGTGTACCGTTGGACGATCTGAAAACACACCCATGTTGAAAGATGTTCTATCCTGGCCGACGACAAGAAATTCTTTTTCGCTCTTTCTCCACTTAATTAGGCAATCCCAAAAAAGGAATGATGGTTGCTGGGGGTCTCTGAAATGACTCAAAATGCTGCAGCCTTTGCAGCTTCGAGTGCTTGCCAATGCAGGGCGTGGGACGGTGCGTTGAGGCGTTGGTGGCGTTGGTGGGGGTGAGCTGTGGTCTCGATATGCAGCATGTTGGTATTGTTAGAGTCTTGACATGTTTTGACGACAACTTGGACCATAACTTATGACAAGCATGAAAGATCGCCTTGTTGAAATTTCATGGACTGGGGATCCAGGATGGCGAAGTCAGGCCTGAGCCGGGTGACCTCAGAGACATTGCGTTGCGTTGACGTTTTCACCGCGTACAGATTTGTAACATTCCCTATTTTGGAAAGACATACCACTCGAATTGGTCAGTTCAGGTCTGATGTCGTGACACTCGGAATCCAGTATGCTTTTTACTCTCATATCAGCGGGAACAAATGCTGTTTGGCCAGAACCATGTGCATTTCTTGTGTGGGGATATTCGTCAAAGGAAGTTGGGAAGCAATCTTCCGAGTTTCCGATAAAATGTAATGCAGTAACTGTACATATATAACAATACAATACATCACTCACAACAATACATCACACAACAATACATCGCATAACAATACATAACATAACAATACAACACATAACAATACATCACACAACAATACATCACATAACAATACATCACACAACAGTACATCACATAACAATACATCACACAACAGTACATCACATAACAACTCATCACATTTCAGAGCATCGCATAGCAATACATCACATAACAATACATCACACAACAATACAATACATAACAGTACATCACACAACAACTCATCACATTTCAAAGCATCACGCAACAATACACCACATAACAATACATCACACAACAATACATCACATAACAGTACATCACAAAACAATACATCACATAAAAATGCATCACACAACAGTACATCACAGGACAACTCATCACATTTCAAAGCATCGCATAACAATACATCACATAACAATACATCACACAACAATACAACACATAACAATACGTCACACAACAATACAACACATAACAATACACCACATAACAATACAACACATAACAATACATCACATAACAATACATCACACAACAGTACATCACACAACAACTCATCACATTTCAAAGCATCGCATAACAATACATCACATAACAATACATCACACAACAATACAACACATAACAATACATCACACAACAATACAACACATAACAATACACCATATAACAATACATCACACAACAAAACACACAAAATGTATGGGACTTGTGTTGGGGAGGATGCCGGAGCGCGAAACATGCGTTTTTTCATGTAAAGTGCCTTACGCCGGCGATGAAGGGTACATCGTGTGTGTGGCGGGTGCGGCTACGCTCGTTTTGACGTGTGATTGGTTCCTACATGTTCCTACAGGGTGTTTTGCACCGTGCGGTTGTTCGCTTGTGCGCAGTTATAGGGTCTTTGCAATCTGCAGTGGCAGAACGCAGTGCAATGGCTGCATGAATGTTGCAATGTTCTGTTGCCATGTGCGTAGATACGCGCGTGTTCGCCATTGGCGGTGCAGATCGCATTGTAATGGCTGCGTCAAGGTTGCTTGGCGCCGCGGCTGCGTGCATAACATTATTGTCTTTTGCAGCTGGGCATCGTAAATCATATTGGAGTGGCTGCATCCAGGTTGCGATACTGATTTGTCAGCAGATTTTCTTTTGAACACCCTTTTAAAAAGTGCTTCAAAATCGTTTTTTTCTCGCCTTGGAGCCGAGATCCGGTTTTGGAGCTACAATTTCTGTTGCCGTTGCTCGTAGTTCTATGGTGCTATACCGACTTGTTTCAACAAATGTAATGTAGTGTGTATTATATTGCATATGTAGTGTGTAAGGTATGAGTATGAATGAAAGATTACGAGTTCCATGAATGTACCAGTAGTACCCGCGCGAGGCA